AAGACGCCGTCCTCTGACTGTCCTGCTCCTCCTTCAATGGGCTCGTCCTGTGAGACGTCCTGCGGGGCATCATGCTGGCGTGCTTGGCCCAGGACTCTCCCATTACGATCACGCTTTTTGCCGCGTTCCGTCTCCGTCCCATGACTTTTATTGCGACTCTTCTTCTTATCCTTTTCTTTGGCGTCGCCCGGCTCGGTGATTTGGTACCGACGTTGGATGGTGTCCCGTAAATCTTCGAGCGAGGATTGTTTGTTCGATGGTTTCCCGGGTTCTGTGGAAGATAGCCCACCGAGGCGAGCCTTTTTGGGAGACATTGGAATAATGGCTTCACTGCTGGTCACCGACCAAACAATCGCAGCATGCAGTAGAACTAAATTTCTGAGAAAATCTCCAAAAATCTGGAGGGATTCTGGAGGTTCTTCGGGCGGATTTTAAATTTGCCAAGACTGGTTATCGCCGCCACTTCAGGTACTCCAAGTAGGTGATCTGGGAGAAGGACAAATGCAGAACGCAGAGCCGATTCAGTTTAAGGACTGGCAGGATATGGATATCTTCAATTAAACAATACAAGGAACAGGTACGTGTAGTCTGCAACCGTTCTCCCGGCTGGCCGACCGATTTCATCATAATCCAATTGCGTTCGTACCGAGACTTTCTCCTTCCTTCTCTCTATTTGCACCAGCCTCCTCCTTTCCCGGTCAATTCTCTCTGCAACTCCAGTATGGTCTCCGCAATGAAGGGAATCACCAGTCTTTCCAGCCATCGTTGCTCACAGGAGGAGAGCCATGCCAAAAAGGGCGACCGTGCTTCCAACCACCATCAGCGGGTTCCCTGCGGCCAAAGTGTAAGCAGCTGCGTTGTTGCTAGAGGTACTGGGAGTTGCTGCTGACCCACTAGCGGTAGCCGACGAGCCTGCAGATGAAGAGGCCGACGTGCTGCTCAAACCAAGTGTGTCATTTTCCTTGGGAACTCCCTGCAGAAGTGTAACGTTTGCAATCCCGGGATAAGGGACGACGCCTTCGTCAGGGTAGGCAGAGCAGTTGGCATTTGCGGCAAGGGGGCAGCTGTAGACATCACTGCAGATGGTCTGCAGCTGAGGTCCCGCGGAGGGAGGAATGACGGCAGCAGGAGGGATGCAGCGATAAGTGAACGTCTGGTCGAGAGCGTCCCGAGTAAAGTTGACGTCTGGCTCTTCAAATCCGATTGACTTTCCGGCAAGCACAATCTGTTCATTGAAGTAGCCCGATTCCCAAAGGTTGGGGTCCATGAATCTTGGGGTCGTCAGGGCTCTTTTACTGAGTATGTGCGCAAAAAAACTTACTTGTGGACCTCCCACATGCTAGCGACGCCCTGGTAGTGGGGGAACTCAGAACCTCCCTGTTGAGAACACCCGTAGAAATCACCAAAGTACTGGTATACGTGGGTAAGGAGTTGGCTGCAAAGTCCAAGGTAAGCGACATATGGGGAACAAGTGGACACACGGGGCATACTATTGATTAGAGGTCGTTGTGTTGGCCGGCTTGTTGGCAAGCAATGCTCCAGCTCCTCCATCGTCAAGCCAGTTCTTTGCAACAGGCTTCCCGTTCTCATTGGTAGAATAGTAGCCACCCGTGAAGTATGGCAAAAGATTGACGTCGTGACCCTGGTAGGTTTTGGGGCCTGCGATCCCGTCCACTTTGACGCCGACGTTAGGAGTAGTGTAGTTCCCCAGAATGAAGGTATGGGTGATCAGGGCCATGAGTTGCTGTTGGCTGGCGGGCGTGTTCTCCTTCCCAAGCAGGAGAGGAGTATAGTGGTCGCAGATCGACGTAGTATTGGGACGCAGCGCGTTCACGACACCAAACACAGTCAGCAAAGAGAGGGCTTTGGCAGAGATAGTCGACGGCATTTTGACGGGGACTTGAAAGACGTTCATCTGGGAGAGATTTCGCGGGAGTGTTCAGAGACTGTCCTGGAGGCTGAAGAAGAGACAAGACGAGATTCCCAAGGGATCTCGCAATTTAAATGTCGAGAAGCCGAGGACATTGGGAGGTAGCTCTGCTCCCATATTGGGAAACTCTGAACAGGACAAACTAGAGCATGCAAGGTCCGAAGGATTGGGTGTTCACGAAGGGGCCATTAGGATACTTCGAGAGTTCTTCGACGACGGCAAGCAGTGCATACTCACAACATGCGTTGTCCAATTTCAGCTCGTGCAACGCTTTCAAAAAGGGACATTAGTAGATTTCATCCATGTCCGGCCAGGGCGGCGAGACGAATCACATCTGGTTGATTACCAACTCAAGATCGATAAATCTGTATCCAAAGGAGTGCCGTGTTGCTTTGGGTAGCGATCAATGGCGATGGGCTGTACAAGGCAGCGTCATTGCCAGCTTCATAATCTTGAGCTCGCGGAATGTAAACAAGAACAGAATCTCTCCGCACGCCTGCAGCCTCGCGACGGCCTATCACAGGGCTAGATGTTTTGCTGACATTTCATGCTGGTGGCTGATTCGTTTCACTGGCAGGTCCACCACAAAGGATGCAGGATCTCAGTCAGAGTGCCGGCCACGTTGCAAGGAGCAAGATTTGGGCAAGACAGAGAAGATCTTGTTTTATAAGAGGTAGGCTAGAAGATGGTCAGTCATTGGGGCAGCATGGAGTGCGGTTTATTAATTGCCAAGCATTTTGCCAAGACACAAAAGCCTCCGCTTCTACCTCTGTATGTAGATCTTTTGCTCTTCTGCTCGTTCCGCTCCGCTCATGCCTCTGCTAATTGACGGAGCGGCATGGGGAGATACTGAGGTGAGGTTCCAAGGAGCCACAGAGTCTCGGCAATAGCGAAGTTGCAGGACCACTCAGAGATCTCAGAGGCATTGAAGTGCCATCTCGAAGAGTCTGTATAGTCTGTGAAGCTGCTCCAGTGATCCTTGCACATGCACCATTGGCATCCTCGTACATGTACCGGGTAGACAGCCTCGATCCGCACATAGATTCACGACAGAGTCAGGTCCAACCCCTACATTGACCAATTATGTCGGATCCATCAAAATACAGCCAGAGTGGTACTCTGGGACTAGCACACTGGCCTAGTCACCTTGAGTTCCGTCTCTTCAATCAGAAACCTTGACCTACCCTCAGACACGAAGACCTGCAACACTGAGTCGGTGGTTATTGCCCCATACGTCCGCAAATCTCCCAGAGATCACACGTGGCTTTCATCGCTGGCTAATTCATTCTCTGAGTAGGCAATATGATCTTGAAGTGGATCAAGCAGTCGGCAAAGTGTCGATGGCTCCGCTCACAACCGGTGCATAAGAGAACATGGTGATGTAAAATAGCCACTCTACTTACTAACTTTGAAATTGTTGAGAGGATATAAGTGCCTCTTTTGTGTCTAACCATGAGGAACCTGAGCAAACAGGAGATCAACAATGCCCCCTTGCACGAAGATGGCCAAAAAAGAAAGCCTGGAAAATGTCGGATGACAATGCTGCTTTCGCACCGAGGTATTGAAGCGGGTGTTTTTCATGGATATGTAAGGCGGAACTTGTCGTCGACGGTCGTCTAACGATCCCCTTGCCCAGAAATGATATCAGGCTCTATACCCACCAAGCCATTGTTGACAATTACCCCAGCAGAAACATCAAGCTGTGTCGGCTTTGTTAACATAGATAACATCTGCAATGGAGCATTAGACATGCTAAGGGAGAATTGGTATCCAGAATGCTGGCGGTGGTAGGTGGATGTAGCTGGGAGAAGTCCGCCGTCGCATTGAACAGCTGGCACTTCTCAACATTGAAGGGGCAGTTCTCGAAGTGAAGGAGAAATGGTAATGGCCAAAGAGGGAAGTGTCAGGTTGATATATACTGACGAGAATAGAGACACTTGGTGCTTAGAAAGGCCCAGCATGTGATTGGCTGGTTGACTTGCCTAATTTGGTCTCCTTGTCTTCATCTCACCTGCCTTGCCCTTTCCCCCCCCTTGGACGGTTCGCCTCGGGATACCGTGACTCGTCCTCGAACCGATCAGGCGAGTCCTCCTAAGTAATCACTGCATCTCCGCAAATGTGAAAATTGCCCAGGTTAACACCAGGGAGCCGCGTCAGTGCCTCAAAAGGGTTTTGAGGCGGTGGAGTTCCGAGCCAGATCTACGATCGGCCCCTTTAGGAGACTCGACGGAGTATGACAGCTTGACATCCTGTCACTACTACTGCATGGTTCAGATCCAGCTTCGGAAAAAGTTTTCCCTTGAAGCTCAGAAATCTCTCACTCACGCTTTGACTCACGGTAAGAGACTCCCGCAAATCCATGGTCACTAATAGGCCGTTCCATTTAAATACCGCTTGTTTACTACCTATACCCTCTGCGAGGACCCTTTCTGAATCAGGCAGGTGTGAAACGTCGCCTGTTTTTATTTCGAGGCATCAGCCCCAGCAGGGGAGGGAGTTTTCCCCCCTGACTTCTTGGTGGGGAGATGGCGCTCGTCAACGGATACCCTATACCCGCCATGAAAAGGGTCACAACAGCAATTTCCACGCGAACCGCCTGATAAGGTCAATACAGAAGTACAAGCCAGAAGCGGTGCGGGCTTTGTTGACAAAGATGTACGGTGGCTGCAATTGGTGACAACCACATGCAGTACTACCTTGGTCGCCAACGTTCCACCCGCCCAACTGGCGAATTGGACATGAACCCTGCAGGAAACCCCTCCCAAAATTCAATCGTGGTGGCTCACTCGAGACCGTTACCAGCGGGGAGAGGCTTAGTCATTACATTTCTGGTCGGTGGAGGTTCAGGATTCAACCAGCAGATGCCTGCCGAGTACGGGCGACCGGTAAACCGGCTTGATCTTTTTGCGACCTGTCGACTGTGAGGCTATTATCTTTGATACTTTGATGAGAGATCAGACTCTACCGCCGTGCTAGGCTGCTGTTTCTCAGATACTCATCTTCTGCGTCGAAGCGCTCTGCTTTCGTCTGCTCGCATGTGCCATCCGGGTCTGCCCGACTCCTAGTGGGGATGGAAAGACTAGCAGCCACTTCACCGCATCCAGCTGAACCTGCACCAGCCCCGGACTTCAGGTTTGTTGACAATGATGCGCTGCGGTCAGTCAAAACCAAGCGTAGTGAGACTGCGGCAAGACGTGCACATGCGGCACGAGTGGCTCACCAGCGCCGACGTGAACGGCAGCAACAGGGTCAAGAGTCTACTCCGACTGGAAAGCGTGGTTCTGTGTCTGAGAGCGAGAATGTGTACCTGTCTCCGCCGGCGGAGTTCAGTTTCGTTCAGGAGAAGGGGGACGAGGACGCTGGGAGACGTCGGACTGAGAGCTCAACACAGCAACAAGAGCGACAGACCCAGCATCCTCCCATACGGTCCCCCAATGTCATCGACCGTGACCTCACTATCATCCACAGAAATCCCTCTCCAGCGAGCAGCGCCGCGATTCTGGATCGCCGGCTTGACCAGACGAGGACAGACCCATTCAACCTGATGGGTGCAAAAGACTTGCCGCGCGCATTAAGACACACTCTCGACTACGCCTTTGACGTGTACTGGCCTGCAAATGTCAATAGTGCCCCGACCGATCAGTCATATTCCCTCATCCTGCGCCGAGGAGCTGCGATGCATCCTCATGCCTTCCATGGCCTTGTGGCTTCGGCTGCCATGTTTCTCCAGAGAAGCACCCAAGACCGTCAAGTTGCCCGAGCATGTGCTGCCTTGGTCAACACAAATCGAACGAAGGCTATTCAGTTGATCAACGAGGAACTTGATCAATTGCAGGGGGCTGTACCGTCGGATGACCTTCTCATGGCAATGGTCGCTGTGGCCAGAGGTTCGGTTGCACATTCGAGAGTTCCGCCCGCAAGCTCGATATCAAAGTCCCCATTGGCCAGGGCGCAGAATCTTCATTTCTACAGTACTCAGTCACTCGACCCTGGATATATCAAGGCTTTCTTTGACATCATCGATCTGAAGGGTGGGTTGACTGGTGTCCAAACACCTGCGCTCGCGACGTTGGCAGAATTGTAAGCATGACTTCCGGAGTTGATCATGCAGGAGAATTGCCGTGCTGATGAATTGTGTGCAAGCTTCGACCTCACCGTATCGACCTTGACAGGGCAACGGCCGAAATATGACTGGAGACATCCGCGACAACCATTGCTGACATACGAAATTGGAGGTCTCATCATCGACCCGATTTCTGCTATGCTTCTCAAAGATCTCGGCTCTGGCTTCGACAAAAACATTCTTCTAGACATCCGTCCGACGTTGAACATGGTCTGTGAACTTGTTATTGCTCTGGACCGGCTGATACGCAAGGCAGTCCCCGAGCCTGCGATGCATGATTTAATCAATGCCCGAAACGCCATTCAGCATGCGCTTTGCCGTATCCAACGTCACGTTCATCCTGCCAGTCTGGAAGAAGCCATTTTCGAGACCACGAGGGCTGCTCTGCTCTGTTTCAGCGACATGGTCATTTTTCCTATTCCCACGAACACCGGCGTTCGGATACGACTGGTCACGGAGCTCTATGAGTCCCTGCGTGCTTGCGAGACCTTTGAAGCGGTTTCTCAAGGGTTCGATTCATTTCAACTTTGGGCCACCACCATGGGTGCGATCGCCGTAATGAATCTGCCGCTCAAGGATTCCGTCCTTGACATGTTGAAAAGGCTCCTCTCTATACATTGCTGGACGTGGGAAATTGTCAAGATGCAGCTGCACAATTTTGTTTGGTGGGACCACATGTGTGACGAGTTGGGGCAGACTGTGCACCGAGAAGCAATGGGCATAGCTTCTTTTCCGACACCACCACCAGGTATACAACAGACGTTGACCTCTCATCGACCTCCAGACAGATAGCCTGGTCTTAGCTTCCGGCTTACCTCGTCGGGTCGGGGCTGTTATGACCGGTCCGGGCTTGCTTTTCAAAGTAATCGTTGTCGTCGCCATCATTGCCAGCACCGCGGCATGATCATACCTCAATCACGGTAAGCTTTGAAAAGCCAGATCACAAACAAAAGGGGGGCTTGTAATCATTGGTTCACAGCACGCATAATCAGCCCTGATCGCGAAGTTCAACAGGAGCCCTGCCCGTTATAAAGTGCCATCTCCTCACTGCGGCATGGGCAATTAATTCCCATGCGTAATAACAGAGGTTGAAACGACCAAATGCACGTCGGCAACATGGTGGACCCGACACATATGTGCATAGCTTCCGGCGTGTCATGGCTAGGACAACTGGGTGTTGAGAATGAGCAACAGGGCCTTGCAGTGGCTCCCAGAAGTATTGGCACACTGGAGAGATAATTGGTGTCTTTAGGTGATGGACTGCGTGGTGTGACCGACTCGGGATGCTGTCGGAGTGCGTCTCAACACTCTTCCTGACGAGAACGAGCATCGAACCATTCTCCAGATGAATGGTTTCATCATGGCTCGACCGTGTTGAATCACCCAGGCGTGAATTTTCCCCGTGGTCAAAAGATTCAAAAGTGTTGCTTTACAGCTAAAGATTTATACCCCGGAGTTCGTATTTGAGCGGCTACAGAGCAAGCATAATGAGGGATTTTGGACGAACCAGTGGATGAATACTTGTACGAGATACACCTGGCAATTAGCGATGCATAAACCCTATGCATTCGAGGTCTTCCAGCCCTCGCTAGGCCTAGTCAGGCTCCGCGGTTCCGCGCTGATTGTGGCTATACCTGCAGTGCCCCCGACAGGTGGCCACCCACAGCGACCTCCCGCGCCCGCTACTTGGTTAGCATTAACTAGCAATGCACCAGGCACTCAGTACCTCGGACTGGCTATTTTGCTGCTCTCCGTGGTCCTGGGTTTAGCTGGAGTGCCAGGCTCCAAATCTCCTCCACGCCTCTCCACGCCATCATCCTACGAGATCAGACTCGTCTTCCCGGCCTGCCTTTCCTCTTTCTATACTCGGTCTTTCGCATATCAGTCTTTCAACCTAGACGGCAGCTGAAGAGTTAGCATGCCTACGCTCCCACGGACTTCCCGGAGTAGGGGTTGTGCACAGTGCATACAGCGCCATGTAAAGGTCAGTCAGTGCTCCGGTCTACATCTGCGAAGACTCCATTGATAGGTTATGCGTTTGTCAGTGTGACGGCAGACCAGAGTACTGCAGACAATGTGCTCGCTTTGGACTTCCTTGCTCGGGTCCCCGTCAAGGGCCCATCATCCTCGACATGTCCGCCCAAGTCAGTCGTCCACGCAAGAAACGACGAGCAACAGCTCGAAGCACAGATGAATGTCCGGCTATACTTCGTGCCTCTACGGATGACGATACCACGACCATATCGCCGGATGCCAGTAATACGAGCCCAACAGAAGATGATCTCACCATGAGTTTGGATACATCCCCATCACCTTGGGAGCCAGATGCAGCCGGGCAGGAGAGTTCGTTGCCTGACCAGACTAACCTTTCCCTGATCATCATGGATGTCCTGGACCACAGCAACTTCTTTGAACAGTGTTTTGTGGAGAAGTTCGTCGAATCAAGCACCAGTTCGAGGGTGGGAATGAATCCGGTTCGACCACGATCATGGGTATTTGCCCTTCCCAGTCTCTTATCCGACAATCAGACACCCTCTGTAAGGTTCTCCATCCGTGCCGCCAGCTTAATCTACTTTGCAGTTGTTCAGCACAACAAGAGCGCCGAGGTCGAGGCCGTGCGGTGGTATCTTGCTGGCCTCGCGAGCCACCGTGGGTTTATACAGGGAAGCAACACCGACGCCAATTCACTCACGCACGGGTCAACGCCTAGCAGCCCCGAGATATCAGTACCCATGATGTTTCTCTACTTTGAGACGATGAAGCGAACCTCTCCTGACGCTTGGGCTCATCATATTGCCGCCGCAGTCACCACCGTGGAGGCCCTAGGCCCAGATCATTACCGTGTGGGCCAGGATCACGCCATGTTCAGATCTCTTCGCACGTACGCGGTACGTATGCCTCTTACACAGAGCCAGTAGAGGGTGCTTGTCACCTACGAGAGTGTCATCCCTAACGGACCTCGCAGGCTTTTAAGGCTCTTCTCAGGAACGACCCTTCCAGCTTCGCATCGCAAGAATGGTGTGAAGCCCCCTTTAGAGACAGCACCAAGATCGAGTACGAGTTTCTGATTGACATCCTCCTCGCCATTCCTCATCACCTGCTGCTCACTCTCGTGCCTGGAGGCGACTTCCGGGACTCTATAGACAAGATAGCCACTCTCGACAACTCGGACCGGAAGACGCTGGAGAGGGAGACCCTCGTTATCCTCCAGCGCCTGCAGAACTGGTGGTGGCATTTCGCTCAAGATACCAACGTTGTCGTCGGTCAATCTACTACCACCGACCTTATGCAAGCTGCCCTCAGCCCTCTAACGCCTTCGTCGCCCGCTGGACAATGTGTATTCCCCGACACCCTGACCGCCAAGACCGTCTCGCTGTACGACTCTTTGATGGTCATCGTCTACTCTGTGCTTGCGTCTCTCGAGGAATGCAGGCCACCCTCTCCTGAGGGAGTGCTGCCGTCACCGCTTCCGCGCTACCGTTCCGAGATCGAGCGCCACTCGTCTTCGGTCTTGATGGCCGCCTGGTACCAGAACTGGCGCCATCCTTACTGCGGCGATGCGTTGCGGACGGGCTTCTCTGTGAAGATCGTGTCATGGCTCGGTGCGAACGCAGTGCAAAAGGACGAGGCACGCAGGATGATGGTCCTGTGGGGGATGGAGAGCACAATTACAGCAACATGAGGGTTGGCTTTCTAGTCCTGGAGAGACCCGATTTATTACCGGACAGCCATCCGATGGATACCAATGCTTCGTTTAGATCTTACACAAAACGGCAATAGTTTACCAGCACATCATTAATGTGCCCTACTGTGAACATGGAAACGAACTACCGCCACCACTCGCCAAAGGATATGTGGCACTCTCAAGATCTTGAACGAGCTTCTTCTGTTTTCATCAGCCAGCGATTGATGAACTCCCGAATGTCTTGGTTGTTTTCTTCAATGGCCATCAAGTGGCCATTCCCGCGAATGCCCTGCTCGGCGAGATAGACGTGATCGACCGGGACGCCCGCGTCGCGGAGGAAGTCGGCCGTCAAGTGGTCATAGCTTGCGTGGTACGAAGCCTCTGCAGTGAGCAGCAGCACGGGGATCGAGGCGAGGTTGACGAGCTGTCTTGGGGGTCGTGTCTGTCGACATCCCCGCGCCAGGGTCTCGTGAGTCGGCGTTTCCAGGTCGGTCTGTCGGAGGTAGCTGAGCTGCGTTGCGTCGGCGTCCAGTTCGGGCGAGAAGCGCAAGGGCGTCGAGGTGATGCCAAACGGATGCAGCAGCGTGCCGACCATGGCAGGACGTCTATTGAACGGCGCCACGTCCGGACACTCGAACGGTGGGCCGTGAGGCTCCAGCGCCACGATGCCCCTGACCAGGTCCGGACACGCGTCGGCGATATGCCACCCCAAGGGGCCCGACTGGGAATGCGTGACCAGGTACGCCGGACCAGTTCTGGTGAGGAGAGGCCACGCAGCTCTACGCACCAGCTTCTCCATTACCTTGTACTCCGGCACATGTCCGACCTGGCTGGCGTAGAAGGCATCGAAGATCCGGTCGCCCATGACCCCCCTGCCGGGCCACTGCGTGTGCAGCTTCGCCGTCGGCCACGATTGAGGGTCCGGTGCCGTGAAGGCCACCTGCAGCTCTTCGGCTGTGTAGTGCTTCAGCGCGCCCATGTCGCCGCAGTGGTACCGCGACCGGCCCACGCCCACGAGATCGACCACGTAACAGTCCCATCCTCCTTTTCCCTGCGCTTGAGCCTGTGCCTGCAACAGTGCTAGCCCCGGCCGCCCGTCGGGAGTGACTTCAAAGTGCGTCCCCGTCTGCGCGGCGCCGTGGAGGAATATCACCGCCGGCCGGCTTTTCTGCGTGTCATCGCCGTCGTCGGCGGGGCCGTAGTGTCGCACACACATCTGGCCGCTCATGTGCGTCCCGTCTTTGTCCCGGATGTACTCTCCGCCGACGTAGAAGACGGGTGGGATTTTCCAATTTGTGCGTTGATGCGTCGTCGTCGTCGTCGTCGTCGTCTTCGTCGATGGTGGCATGATGGACGATGGATGAAAATTTGAGGAGTTGGTTCTTGTGCCGGACAAGTAAGAAACTGACTAGTGGCTCCAGTGGCAGGTGTTTTATATCCTGTACTCTATATCATATCATATGCATATCAAGTCTCAAGTCTTCACCATTCCGATATCTACCTACCTATGCATCTACTTGTATGCACCACCGTAATCCCGACCCAGGTATCCCTCTCGCCCTTCACCCATGAAGGGCAACAAGAGACTCGGCCGCCGCAGAAATTCCCTCGTGTTTAACCCCCCCCCCCCCCCCCCCGGTCATGAATCTGTCGATAGTTTACCAGTTTACCACCAGGCAGGCAGAGCCCACTCTGGCGCTGGTGTTGACGCACTACATACGACACCGCCCTACCTATCCAGTATAGTTTCATTCATATCCTAACTCGCAGCCGAACTGCCGAGAACATGACCTTACTGATCAAGTGATGGCGCCAGGGCGATGGGGAGGACAGCCAGTGTACAAGGTACAAGGTACAAGACAAGGACAAGGACAGGAACAGGTGATAGTATCTCGACCAAACAGCCGGCCAAGTTGGTACCAAGCACCAGCCAGGTGGGTAGGTGGGTAGGTGGGATAGGTACATACATAGGTAGACTTTGCCAAAAGGGGGAATTTCCACGACGGGTGCATCGCCATTGCATTGCATTGCATTGCACGGCATGGCACGGCATACTACCCTGGAAGAGGGGGACCTCAGGTGCCTGTGTTAGGTACCCACGTACCATAGCATACGTGTGCATGTATTTTACCTTGTGCAAGCAAGTACGCGGTACGGGTACGGGTACGAGTACGAGGGAGTAAATAAATCTTCGTTCTAGCCATGGTGTTGACAGGAGATAAAAAAGGTAGGGGAATAAGAGCTGCTGCCAGAAACAGGACAATGTGCGAAGCATAGAGATAGTATATGGCATTAAAAGCTAGATCAGTGGCACAGTACCATTCCCTTGAGAGTGACATCTAGAGAGGCTTACGATCCCCCATGCCCTACTAGCCATGCTATGCTATGCTATGCTATGCTATGCTGGTGAGAAATCTGAGACGAACCATCCAGTCCGTCATATCCATGTCCGTGGTTTCCTTTCCGTAGTTCATAGCCACCAATGGTCCCACTAAGACTGCGACGGTATACGGATGACACCGACCCCGTCCTCGATCGAGATCTCGGTCCCAAACGGCCTCGAATACTCGACGACCCGCTCGAGGATGTGCCGGGCCTTGTCCAACGACGGTCGGCGCGGCGTGCCCATCTCGGAGCTCGGCCGCTCCAGGCCCAGGTCGACGGGGTAGATGTGCACCCGGACCAGTTTGCCGTCCTCGTAGTGGCTCGTCGGGAGGATGGCCTCGAAGTTCTCGGGCCGCTGCAGCCACGCCCAGCGCGCCTCGTTGATCTCGCCGTCGCCGACGATCGGCTCCGTCGGGCACCGTCGCCGCGCCTCACGCTCAGAGTCGGGGGCGTCGTCCCTCCAAGACCGGAACCTCTGGTTCTGGAAGACAAAGTTGTTGACCCCGTAAAAGATGGGTTTGCCCCGGTAGATCTCGACGCCCTTGAGCGTGTGCACGCCGTGCGCGAAGAAGAGGTCCGCGCCCTGGTCGATGGCCGCGTGCGCCAGCACGACCTGGAACTCGGCCGGGTAGTGGTCGAACGAGTACTTTTGGAACGAGAACCGGTTCTGGTGCCAGTGGATCGTAAAGGCCGCGAAGTCGCCGAATTGTTTCCCGGACCGCACTTCGCGCAGGATTTCCCGCTCGTCCGCCGCGTCCATGTCGTACGTCAGCTCGCCCGGGCTGGGGGCGACTTTGAAGTGGACGTCGAACGCGTCGAGCGTTGGGCCACTACTGCCGCTGTCGCCTGCGATTTGGCGGAGCTGGGCCATTTGTGCCTCGGTCACGCCGTGGTACACTTTGAGCCGCAGCGAGTTGTTCTTCGACGTGATGGGTCCCTTGGAGTTCAAATGGTGCTCCAGCCGCTTTTTGATCGAGGTAGCTTCGTCATCTGCCGCCGCCGTGTCGGCGCCTGCGAGCTGGAACACCCGTCCGAAGAGCAGCAGACTGCCTTGCCGGGGCTTGGTGTTTCTGTCGATAGGGTTCGGGACCTCCCTCGCACGCTCGTAGAGACTTTCCTCCATCGCTTGCAACTGCTGAAACTGCTCTTCCGTCACGACAATGGGATCCCCGCGCGGTAAACCGTATATCTGCGAATAATCCTCGACCTCGGCGTAGGCACCGACAAACGCGACCGTTCCCTTGGGAAGCGTACGAAACCGCGCCAACCGCGCCTCGCAGAGGTTGTAGTCTGTGCCCACGTAGTCGATGCCCACGCGGCGGAGCTGGGCAAAGTTGTGGGCGACGCCGGCCTCACCGTTGTCGAACGTGTGGTTGTTTGCCTTGGACACCATGGCGATGCCCATGGCGGCCCAGTCGTCGGCGACCTCGGCGGGGCTTTCCATGTGCGAGATGGGCCCGCGGAACGTGAGCCGGTCCACGATCGTGTTCTCGTTGTTGGCCAGTGTGATGTCGGCGGCTCGCATGATGGTGATCAGCGCCTGGATGTCCGGGTCGTCGCGGTTCGCAAAGGGTTGGACCTGGATGAGGTCGCCGACGACCGCGACCGTAAAAGGCTTCTTGATCCGCATGGCCAGTTCGGCTTCTTTGTCCCTAAAGCGCGTCGGCGCCGTCATTGACAGTGCGTTGGGCATCTTGACGGTTTGGTCTCAGATTGTGAGACGCACGAGAAGAAAGGAGGTGCGTGGTGATTCTGCGCGTCTGGGATCCCTTTTCAACTAGATATCACAAATTGAAGGTCAAAGTAGCACGCTGTATCACGGCTTACCTGGACGCACACGAATATATATACACACAAACCTGGTCGTCGATATCCCATCTCACTCCCACTCCCGCTCCGTTTTGCTCCGTTCGTTCTATAAGAGTCTCCAAGACCTGTGCATATGCAGTCTGGAGTTAACAGTGTCGGAAATCCCGACTCCGAGATCATCTTGGTTTCTCGGGCTCTTGCTCAGAGGGGTTCAAGGGGTTCAACTCCATTTTCAACTAGTGATATGGTCTCAGGTGTAGATGTGGTCAGTGGTTCCCCACTGAAAACGACATTTATGCAGGTGTCGTGGAAATTCCCATTTTGGGATTAGTTCGAGTGGAGCGCAGTGACAGGACGGGAAATACAAGAGACGCAGGCATGTGTCGAATTCACTTGAGGGGAAAAACGGGAGGCGGGTTTGTCTGGCAGTCTTAAGTCTATGGGTCCATTGGCTGGGGAAGACAGACTGTTCTAGGTTGCTAGGCTGCTAGCCGACTTGTCCTTCAAGTCGGGTGACAATCGCCTTGAAGCATTCTGGTCTCTTGGAAAATACGAAGCGCTATTCCAGACTCCAGACTGGGGCAAATCTGGGGGCTTGGTATACAACGGGGGAACATAAAAGGATGCCTCCATCGTCCCCCGTTCCCAGTGTTCGTGGGATTGTGACCACAGCAATATACTACGTTCGCAGTTTCCAGCATCATCTCGTGCACAGCTGATCTCGAACAACAATGGCTTCAGCAGTGGAAAAGTTCGACGGCAAGGAAGAGATCCAGCTGGAGCGTCTGGCAAAAGACACCAAAGAGACACACGGGTTCCTGTACGAGGACCCGAAGACGACGCCACCCAAGTCTCGCGAGGAGCGCAGGCTCGTGCTCAAGGCCGATCTATTGATCGTGGGCATGACCTCGTTGGTCTTCTTGGTCAACCAGTGGGTGAGTTCCCTAGTGCCTCGTCATCTTGTCTGCCATGCTATGCAATTTCACGACCGCTCGTACGCTCTTGAGCATTGTCCTGTCTTGTTGACGCAGAACAGGATCGAGGAAACATCGGCAATGCCCGGGTCATGGGCTTTCAACGCGACTTGAACATGAGCAATGGACAGTTCTACAACGCCATCTCCCTCTATTGTCAGTCCGATCTCCACCTTTCCCCGTGAATGGTAGTCATACCTGGTGAACAGACTGACCAACACCGAACAGATGTCGGGTACACCCTTTCCATTCTTCCCGCCAGTCTGTCTATCCGCATCTTCAAGCCGCACAGGCAGGTCGGCGGCTGCGTGATCCTCTTTGCCACCCTGTCATGCTGTATGGCCGCGGCGAAAAACGCTGGCACCGTCTTGGCCCTGCGAATCATCTTCGGGTTCGCGTCGGCGTTTCTTCAAGCCTTGACGCTTTATACCAGCATGTGGTATAAGCGGAATGAACTGGCAACACGGGGTGGTATGTCTTTTGTTGTACTTCCCTCAAGAAGCGCCGACAAGGAGATCTAATCTCGGGGTGGACAGGTGTCTTCTACTCAGCCGCCACCATCGCTGGCGGCTTTAGCGGTCTCATCGCCTACGCAATACAAAAAAACCTGGATGGCGCCCTCGGCAAACCGTCCTGGTACTGGCTCTTCATCATTGAAGGCGTTGCCGGTATCTTTGTCGGGCTGGCCTGTTGGATTCTGTTGCCGCCCGCTCCAGATCAGCTGAAGAAAAAACACTGGATCTTCAGGGACAGTGAAATCGACCTGGCAATCGACCGCATGAAGACGTACAATGTCGAGCACGCGGGGTTCAAGTGGAAGCAGATGTGGATTGCCCTCAAAGATCCCAAAACGATTCCTTTCTGGTTCATCAGCGCGGGGGTGTCTCTGGCATTGGCTTCCATCAGCGCCTTCTTGCCCAGCTTCATCGCTCAGTTTGGGTACTCTGCTGGTAAAGTCTTTGATCCAGTCTGCTCACTTTGACACCATATTGACCTGTCTTCAGTGCAAACGCAGCTCTTTTCAATCATCCCATATGCATGCGCCTTCGTTACGTTGATTGTGGTGAACATGGCCTCCGACCGACTCAACGCCAAGGGAGTATTCCTCATGGGCCTCTTGTGTAGCAGCATCGTTGGGTATATCATCCTGATCGCGGTTCACAATGTGAAGGTCAAGATATTTGCCACATGCCTAATCACCATGGGCACATTCCCGGGTGTGACGTTGATGGGAGCTTGGATGAACATCAACACTGGGGGCTTCACCAAGCGCGCCACCACCTGGGGCACGGCTGAGATTGTCGGGCAGTGCTTCGCTATCCTCGGGTCGCACATCTACACGGATCCCCCACAATACGTCAAGGGCCACTCGATCGCACTGGCTTTTGAGGTCCTTGCATTAATGTCGGCTGTGTTCTGCTGGTTCTGGATGCGGTGGCTCAACAACAAGAAGGACAGGGAGGCGCTGGAACATGCCGCTGCTGGGACGACAGATCCAAACCTCCACAAGACTCTTGAGGACGTCCAAGACTATCATCCTTCGTTCCGATACATTCTGTAGTGCCTAGTGTGGACACAGCCATTGGGGCAGTTTGTGCGGTTGTAATCCACGCTCATACCTACAAGCAGTGTCCATTCTGAAGTCTTCTGATTTTGGCTCATCCTTGTGCAGGTACTTGTAAGCCTCTGACCATCAGGCGAAAATGGCTCGGTCACCTGGAAGAGAAGAAATGTTTTTGTACTTGTACGAGCTGACGAGGTACTTGTAAGACAAAGTCACGCGAGGCTGCAAGGCTGTGACAAGGGGAAATTGCAGGCACGACAGTGACGTCATGTGATGAGCATTACCAACCATTACAGCACGTGACTGCCGAATGCTCCGCCGTATCCAATTGCGAAATTGCGGGGAAGCGAAAATGTTTCTTCGAGGCTCCCATTCAGCCTGGTGGATGAAATATGGCAGATTGAACTTCATCCATCTCCAATTCATGCCTATCAATACCTTCAAAATCAGTACTCCAGGCTGGAGTTGAGCCGAAAACTGGTTCCCATGGCCGCACCGAGGGAACCCAAAATGAGGGGGGAGGGATGAGCGCCCAGCGGTTCCGCACAAGTCCAAAAACGCCAATCATCCGATGCTGCACTAAGTCAAGAACACGAGTGGTGTGAGGCACATACGACCCCCAATAGGTCCTGGTAAGCAACTGGTGCCCACGGCATAAAATCTGAAGGAATCAGGCTTCCTCTTCACCGAAAGCAAATCACATACCTGGCTATTTCCCCTCTCATCAGGTGTCTAGACACACATAAAGTCATCGAGGATGCTCACCACCGTCGTCCGAAGAAGCACCATTGGAACATTCAAAACACTCAGAACTATACCAAGGTTCCAATACTTATCCACGATGAAGGCACTTGTGTATAAAGGTCCTGGTCAGTGTGGTCTGGAGGATCGTCCTGTCCCTAAGATTCAGGAAGCTTCCGATGCCATCGTGAAAGGTGAGCTCCAAGCCTACAATGCATGCTTAGACGTATTACGTTACGGCGGCTGACCGTCGTGACAGTCGTCTATACAACAATCTGTGGGACAGACACGCACATCCTGAAGGGGGACGTGCCCACGTGCACACCTGGTCGCGTCCTAGGACATGAAGGTTGGCTTCCTTGATACCGTCGAGAATTCCTAGCTGCTAACCGAGGGCAGGTGTTGGTGTCGTCGAGGAGCCAGGTCCCGGGGTGTCTCGATTCAAGAAGGGAGATCGAGTCCTCATCAACTGCATTTCCAGCTGTGCAACCTGCAACTACTGCCGGAGAGGCATGCCCAGCCACTGCGTAAGTGCAGGATGGATTCTCGGCAACACGATCGATGGAACTCAGGCCGAATATGTTCGCATCCCCTTCGCCGACAGCGGCCTGCACCACGTGCCCAAGGGTGTCGACGAAAAGGCACTTGTCATGCTCTCCGACATCTTTCCCACGGGACTCGAATGCGGGGTGCAGAATGGCAAAGTCCAGCCCGGGTCGACGGTCGCCATCGTTGGCGCGGGTCCCGTGGGCCTTGCGGCGCTGATGACCTCCCGACTCTACTCACCAAGTCTGATCATCATGATCGACCGGGACCCCAACCGTCTCAAGGTCGCAAAGTACTTCGGGGCCCATCACACCGTGAACAGCGCCGAGGCCTCGCCCCTGGAAGCCGTCATGAAGCTCACCGACAACATCGGCTGCGACACCGTCATGGAGGCGGTCGGCGTGCCCGAGACCCTGGAGATGGCCCAGGACCTTGTCGCGCCGGGCGGGGTCATTGCCAACGTCGGCGTGCACGGCAAGAGCTGCGAGCTCAAGATCGAGAAGCTGTGGGTCCACAACATCTCGCTGACCACGAGGCTGGTCGACACCGTCACCACGCCCATGTTGCTCAAGCTCTTCGCCGCGGGCAGCATCGACCCGGGACAACTGATCACGCACGAATTCGCCTTTTCGGACATGGACAAGGCCTACACCACGTTCAAAGCGGCCGCTGAGCACGACGCCTTGAAGATGCTGATCACGGTGTAAAAACGAGTGCAGAGGGGGAAAAGAAAGAAAGGGAGTTGGCAAAGTTGTACGTAATTTTGTATGCACATACGTTTGAACGCTACATGTGACACTGTTATCGTGTCCCCTAGGTGACTTGGTCCAGACAGGCCAGGCAGGACAGACAAACAAGACCCATTGAATGGTCCCCCCTTTTATTAGGTTCCATAGGTTTTTTTTTTTTGACAGCCCTCGAGAACCACAACAAGAGGATACCTTATTGAAACCCCAGTCCCTTGACCTCAGGGTCCCCCATCAAGGCGCTTTTGACTTCTTCCTCGCCCACGCGCAATCTGACTTTTACTGCCCTCTCCCCCTTTCCCCTGGTCTCCATGGCGATGACGCCAGCCTGGACCAGCGCCATGGAGGCCCCTCCAAGCGCCAGGATACGGGGCACCATGGAACCAGAGGCGCTTTTTCCCGCTGCTGCTGCTGTTGCTGCATCATCATCGTCTTCTTTTTCCCCCTCTGCTTCGGCGCGTAGGAAATCCTGCACGGCATTGTTATCCGCGACCACGACGATGCGCAGCGCTTCCGCGGAGATGTCGCCCATCGTGGACTCGGCCACACCCGTGCGTCGAGTGAGTGCCGATATCGCGGCGAGGAGCAGCTTCGCGGCCAAGGGCAGAGAACGCAGGTGCTGCGCGACGGGGGACGAGGTGGCTTCGTTGATGGCCTGTTTGATGGTCGCGATCGTCACCCTCGCAAGTCGCGCTTGTGGAGGCGGCTCGTGTTCCCGCCCGTTCGCATTATCTTTGTCCTTGGGGATGTTCCTGCCTCTGCGGCTCGGGGTCGTTACTATCTGGACGACGTCATCGTCGTTGGCATCCGCAGAGGCGGGATTCTGCTTCTCCTGAGACTGTTCTGCGATTTCCACCGCACGCCGGCAAATGTCGAGAGCCCGTCTAGCATCACCAGACACGGCTGCGACTTTGCGGCTGGCGAACTGCACGGCGTCCTTGTCAACGATGTTGCCTGGGACACCTTCCAGCCTCGAGGAGATGATCTCCATCAGCTGCGTGTGCGTGTATCCTGGGAACGTGATCCTGGTCAGCCCGAGTCGCGAACTGATCTTGTTCGACAGCGTCCGCTCGGGGAGATCCATGGTGTTGGCGACCGCCAGAACGATCAGGCGCGAATGCCGCATGGCCGGCCAGTTGAAGAAGTTGTACATGACGCTCTGGCTCTTGGTCACGAGCTGGTCCAGCTCGTCCATCAGCACGACGCAGGGGATCCGCCGCGGCGAAGGGTGCGAGAATTCTTGCTCCAGCAGGCTCAACGCGTGGTGCGGGCTGACGCGGTCTCCCTTGAGCGCCTCCCACAGGAGTGAGTAGGATTGTTGCGGCTCCGTGACCTTCATGCCGTTGATTTCGACAAAGTTGAAGTCGTCTAATTCTTCATTAAGAACCGCCTCGTGGAGTGATGCGACCACTTCCCGTACCGTGGCCGTCTTGCCCGTGCCCGGGGTCCCGGAGATGTAGATACATGCTCCAGACCCGTCCACAATGGCCGAGTAGAGATGAGAATAGACCGTGTGGAACTCATTGGAGCGGCAAGGGAGAGCCGTCGGGACAGCAGAAACGTGCAGTGTTGCTCGGGCGTGAGAGTAGGGTGTCGACTTGTACTGAGAAGGGGACAGGACTCGAGTCCCCAGTGGGGTGATCTCTATAGGCTTCTTGATCATGATCCGTTTATGTGTCGGCGTGCTGTACTTGGACGCCTTGGCCGAAGACTTTGGGGTGGAAATTGTCGCCGTCGTTTTCCTCCTCTTGTGAGGCGTCCGGGGCTCGTCGTCGACCGTCTCCTTTTGCTGCTCATAGTCCACATCCTCACTTTTTACAGGCTGTTTCTTCCGGCCCTTGGTTTGCTCTTTGATCCAATCAATCAAGTCCAAGAGGTCTTCCGGTCCCTTGTAGATCTCTTCCCACACAAAGTCCTCGGTGAATCGCACCGTTCTCTGCTTGACCCCTCGCCGACACAGAATCGTCTTGGCGTAGCGGTTGGCAGCTGACTTGGACTTTGGTGGTTCTCCGCCAGGATATCTCTTGAAAAAGGCCTCTTTCGACAACACCGTAGCTTTTCCATTTATGGCTGTCAATGGGTTCATGTTGAAGTCTGCCGTGATGTATGATTCGTTGGGCAACACATCGCTCGGGATTTTTGAGCGTTTCCCGAACATCAACTCCTCCGGGGTACAGAACCACTGGATGCAGACGCACATTTCGTCCTCGTCATCTTCGTTGGTGTCGGAGAACGAGCACGCCAATCCCACCCAATCTTTTCCCTGCTCGGGAGATTTTAGCAGCACCGAGTCGCCTATTCGCACTGAGAAGGAGCCCATGCGGGCACCCACAATGGCAGCCTTTCTGGGGGTGAGAACATTTGCTTTTCGCTTCTTCGAGGGCGTGGAGTCATCCTCTTGGGGGTTTGTGTCGCTGCTGTCTTCATAAATCCATTCCCAGGGGTGATCTTCATATCCGAGTTCATCGTCTGAGTCCTCGCGGTGAAGGCCTCCCGTTGTCGAATATCTCTTCTGCTTGGGCATCACGAGACTGATGAGCGACTACTGAAGACTATGGTAGTCTTTGCCTGGTCTACCTCGTACTGCTTCCAACTGATAACTTGGCTTGCTTGGTTGGCGATTTGATGCCAAAACGCGTCGACGCGTATTAGGTAAGAATCAATCAAGGAAGGATGTGTTAACCTTGATGTGGTTAGTGCGTCTTGGCTCCTGCACTGCGTTGATTCGCGAGAGTTCGTCTTGTGCAGTTCGTCGTTTGCTCATCTTCATGCACTTTGCTTGTCGATGGACGTCGTTGATAAGGAGAGAATTCCGCTGCTTTTGTGGTTCTCTCCTGCTATAACGCCAATGGACAATGATATCCCTAACTTCACGTACTAACCTTGTCTAAACTGGCACAAGTGCTCATTGACAGTCCTGACCCCGTTAACGTGCTCATACCTGCAGAGCCGAGGTTTGCAACTGACCACCTCCTTCTATGAGTCTACTCCCTGTGGTTGCCACCTGGAGGTCCTTGTTGCACAGGATCTAATTCCAGCAACAAGCGTGTGCCTGCGTCTTGAGACGGGCGGGTAAACCCTCTTGTTTGCTACATGTCCCCCGGCTTGTCACATTTAGACCCGCGTTTTTCATGTCTTGAAGGAGGAGAAGTCCTGGAACCCGTCACATTTGCTCCTGAGCGACTTGGCTGTTTGGTCAATGAGGTCGGCTTCACGCCGCTTTTGACTGCCTGAGGAGGACTTCCCTTTGTTGCTGAACCTGTATCACTATTTGCTGAACGCAAAAGTTTTTGCCCACCGCTCACTCCTCCGTCACCCCTAGAGTCTTCTATGGAACGTTCGACTGCTTTCATCTTTGAACAACAGCAGAAACAGTCATCATGAGCGAGTAAGTCCAACAGATCACCGTGCGGTTTGTTCGGGAGCTGACTTGCCGATCCAGTCATGAGGGCGACGGTCTCGACCTTGATCGTAGGTTTTCACCCAGATGTCATACTCTTGCTTCCCTCTCTGTTATGCTAGCTTAGCATCTAACATCTTCTAGGATGGGAGGAGGCGAGCTTACCGGGCGATTCCGTCTTTTCATACGCACCATCCGATGTGTTCAACCATGGAATGGCCACTAAGAATGGCAATTTCCATCCACCCACAGGACCAGCATACCCATCTGCGCTGAGACGGGAGCCTCCAAATCGATCTCAGAACGAACCCTTTGTAGATTCCTTCTACCCACCACGACAGGCGCCTCTTGTTACCCAACACAGACGAGATGTTATCCCACCATGGCAAGTTCCCACCGTTCCCGCAAGCAAGAGCTCTGCTCAGCTCCAGTTCGAGAGTGGTCAAGCACCGAATGGTGACTATCAGCTCGCGTCGACCTGGAAACAGCATCGGGTTATGGCGTGGAGTGGCAACAGGGCGACTCATCCACTTCAAGTACTCCGAGAAATCATGGCGAAAACCGGATCCTTCATAAAACACCCAAAGGACGAAGAGGATAGGCTCTTCATCTGGGGTGAACCCCATCAGGTCGCCGATACCAAGGCCGCGGTGGCGCGGTGGGAACGCGATGTCCTGGAATCGCCCGCAGAGCCGAGACCGATTGCCTGGGCCAAATACAATGCACTTGATGGCAGAGCCGAAAATCGAGCTGACCGACAGGATCGCCAGAAAGCACTCGACCAGATACTCCGTGAGGCGCAAATTGACTTCCCGGTCGAGGCTGCTCTCCTGTGGCCGAAAGACATGGACCTTGAACAATTTGAAACAGGCAACGCTGAAGTCCTTGATCAACTTAGAAGCAAGTTCGGCTGTCGCATCGCGTTTCCTTTGACCGAGCCGCCACATATATTGATCGGAGCCCAGTCCAAAAAGGACGCTCATGCCATAATGACGAGGATGGCGAATCTGATCAAGGAGAATATCTCTGCGAGAGATTATCTCCGGACGCTCAACCTTGTGCATCTCCCCGATCACGAGGTTTGCAGAGATGAGGTGGCACTTCAAGACATCGACCCAAAATCGGGTACCTATTTACCCACTCTGCACGGCACTCCACCAGCCGAAGAGGAGAAATGGGATCAAAAGAGACGCCAAGCTCATACTCACAATCGCAAAGAAATCAAAAAGGCGATTGATTCTTCCATCAAGGGGCTTAGGCTCTCACAGCAGCACGTACGCATGAGGGTGGCCTTTGGCGAGTTAGGATTCGTGCGCTTTCAGAAACCAACCGACGGGGCCGAGCGCTACGGGTTTGGCGAATTCTACGACATGGTCACAAAAGGGCGGATCAAATTGACTTTGAACGGTATCCCGGTCCGGCAAGCTCAAGCTGCGGATCTTCCAGATGTACTCGAATCAATGGGCGTGTTCTCGGAGCGTACGGAATACTACGGAGCCTTCTTTGACTTCCAAGGGACATCACCAAACACCATCCTTCGGCTTGAGACTATTTTCTACCCAAGTGGCACAGACGAGACGGAGAGCCGGGAGAAGCGATGGATAGAGTTGGGTGACACGGTCTCAAGACTTCAAGTCAGCCTCATCGATTTTGAGAGACCTGATTATCAAATCACCCTTGATGCCTTTCCCCTTCGCAACGACAAGACCACCAAAGTACACATGTCCTCATTCCAGGCCAATGTCACTATGGAGCGTCCGATGGACGGTATCAAGTCACTCGCACGGCGACGAGCCAAGTATCCACCCGGCCAGCGCAAACTGCAACGTGTTGCAGAGCTGGTCACGTTGAGATGGCGATTCAAAAATACGGACGGCGTCTTCGAACTTCGCCGCAAGGACGTTTACGATGAACTACCAGGTCGAGAGAACCAGGTCCCGGTCGAGACCAGGTGGCACGCCCTGTACTACTATCCGCACTGGGACAACCTCATGGGAGAATTTGCGAGTGTCAAGCCCGGCGAAGACGTCCGCTGGGTCAAGTCCGTGGCAACATTCATCCCTGAAGGCGGAGATCAGTACGGGCCTGCACTGCCAAAAGGGTTCAAGAATTTCATGGGCGAAGTTGAGGAGATCCAGGATCATCTGGCAGCGGCCATTCGTCGTCTGGAGAACGGCAAGGGAAAGGAAAAGGCTACAGAACTGAATTGAACTGAATTGAGGCAACAATCAGACAAGCGATGGACGGTCGTCAAACGGGTTGTTGGGGGTGGTGTTGATTTGGGGAGAGGACCTTGAGAGCGAGCGACAGGAAAAGCTGCCTTCAGTCATGCCCGATGCCATGATTTGTAAGATTGATTCTCCAAGCTCTACGCTTCAAAGGATCTGAGCAGTGTCTTTGCTGCAGAAGTGAAAGGACCCCCAAGGGCCAAAGGTTCACCGCATAGATACCTCAGATGAGTTTTTTCCCGTTAAAAGTTGTCCCTATTCTATCCGCGCTCCCTTTTCCTCATGTCGCCCACGCTCCTGTTTTTTTTTTGGCACTCTGCATACTCGGGAGATATTCTTCATCTACCCTGCGGATCCGCTCGCACTTGGTCCTCCCATCGCCGCCGCGGCCTGTCGCCCAGCACCACCAGCACCGAACTGCATGGGCTGCTCCTCGACCATCTTCCGGCGCAGCGCGTCCTCCACGACCCTCAGACTCTCCGTCTTGCCGCCCACCACCTTCTCAATGTCCTGCAGATTTTTGGTCAACTCCTCAACCTTGCCCTGGTAGAATTTTGTCGCGTCCGCGGGGGTCTTTTCGACGAAGAACCCCGTGCCCACGTCGACCATGACCGTGGGGGGTTTTGACGATTTCGTAGTTGACGAGGCAGAGGTGGAGGATTTGGGCGCGGCCAGCGTGCCGGGGACGTAGAGCGAGGTTGTGAGCGGGATGAGCAGGGGCGTGTCTGTTTCGCAGAGCCGTTAGTAATTTGTTAGTTATAAAGCGTTCAATGTATGTGAATGTGATAAATCATTCTGGCTTGCACAGCCGTGTGATACTACCACCACCACGACCACCGCATCCAAGAATGAAAAGAAAAAAAAGGGAAACACATGTACCTCCACTCCTCCCTTGCACCCCGTCCTGTATGCTGCGGATGCAGTCCCGGAAGCGCGACTGCGCGGCACGCAGCCTCTGGTACGACGTGCTCAGGTGCTCGAGTTCCTGGGACAGGCGAGCCTGCAGCGCCGAGATCTGCTGCACCGACAGCGTGGTGATGTCGACGGGCGTCTGTCCGGACTGGGACATCTTCTTTTATGTGTATGTGTACTCTTCCTGGCCTGAGCGTGTTCGGTATGCTGCATCTGTCTCTCTCTCTCTCTCTCTCTTGCTGTAGTCTCGACGTTCAGGGTAGGGGGGACGGGAATTCGGAAGTGGGAATCTCTCCTGTGAGGGGTCGTTGCTGGCGCTCCCTGTCGTCTTTGTACGGAGTATACCCTGCCGACTTGTCTGTTGGAGATTCAGGGAAGATAAGGGGATAACAGCAAGTAAGCACTCAGACTCAAGGAGGAGGACGAGGTGTTGGCGTTCAGTTTTGTCTTGAGCTTGTCGTGGGTTATTTTCTGAGAATCAGAGCAGGGCGGGGAAAAAGTGGGCGCCATTCATTGCAGCCTCGCGGGACAAGGCTGTGTGCAACCTGCCCCATGCGCATACCCATCCGGTACTTTCTTCTCGATGCAGAAGTTTGTACAATCTCACAAAACCGCTCATCCGGGATATATCTGGATGTATGTATGAGTTTGTCTTACATTGTGCGAGTAGGGTATCCTAGAGTACAGTATTAACTACACATCGCTTTTGGGTGGAGGGAACATCAAAGCTGCTTCAACAGATCATGCACGAACCCGACCGCGTCGCTGATGTCGACCTCCTCTTTGACCTTCAGCCTGCGGCACTGCACCTCGACCTTCCCCTGATCAAAGCCTTTGCCCACAACCACTATGACAGGGTATCCAATGACATCCGCGTCCTTTAGCTTCCAGCCCATGCCTTGCTCTTGTCGGTCATCCAGGACGACATCGACGTTGCCCAAGTCCGAAGAGGACAGTTGACTACAAAGCTGCTCGGCAGCACGCAGCCTCTCGGCGTGGGATGGCTGAACAACAACGACGGCTTCGAAAGGCGCAATCGCTCTTGGCCAATTGAGACCAACATCGTCGGAAAGACACGATGCGACTGCTGCAATCAAGCGAGATACGCCGATGCCGTGACAGCCCATTTCCACAGGCACCGCTTCTTTCCCATCGCTCAGCCTGGCCACAAGACCAAGCTTAGAACTGTAACGGGTGCCAAGGTGGAAGGTGTGGCCGATCTCAATCGCCTTGTCCACGCTCAACTTGCCATTTCCGCATTCTGGACAGGGATCCCCCGATTGCTGGTTCAGCAAGTTCATGCCACCGGTTTTGTCATCTTGTGGAGCCTCAATAATATATGCGTCGAGTTGCTGGTTAATGGGAGGAGAAGCAATCAGGTTGCTGATGTCTTCCAGCCGGACACGCGAGTCGAGGACATAGTATATTGCCAACTTTTCTTTTGAGCCATCCGCCGTGGCACTGGCTACAGACTCCCTGAATGTTTCAGTTGGTTGTTCCAACCCTGTATCTATGGTTAAGACACCGTTGAGAGCTGCCTTGACCGCATGTGCATTGATGGTTCGCAATACGGCTTTATCTTGAGCGATGTCGTTGGGCAGTGACGGACCAATGGCACGTACAAGACTGAGACGGTCGGTGCTGAGAAAGTGCTCTTCGATATATTTCTTTCCCGATTTGCCATCCGCAGCGATATTGGATACTTCAAGCGGTCTTGGTGGATACACCAGTTGCGAAATAAATTCTTCGTTATGTGCATAGTCGCATTCCGAACATGTAATGACAATGTCTTCCCCAGCGAAGTTCGGGAAGTGGTACTCATGGCTGAGGTTTCCCCCCATGTCGCCAGAAACAGCTCTCGCCTCGACGTATTTGATCTTCAGCTCGTCAAGGAAGTTGCGGTATGCGCCTCTTATCTGGTCGTACGTTACGTGAGCATGAGCAGGGGTGGAGTCGAAAGTATATAGGTCTTTCATGAGAAATTCGCGGCCCCGGAGCAGGCCCCCACGAGGGCGCTTCTCGTCACGGTATTTTCGACCAATCTGGTACAGTCGGACCGGGAGTTGTTGTTTTGTCTGAATGATCTCGGAGAGGAGGGTGGTGATCTCTTCTTCATGAGTCGGTGCCAACAGCCACTCCGTATCCCTCCGGTCTTTGAACAAGAACATTTCGCCGCCGTGTTTCAGCCGTCCGGATTTCTCCCACAGAGCTTGCGAGGACATGGACGACAGAGAGACTTTGGAGGCTTTGACGGATCTCATGTGCTTGTCGATGAGCCGTTCGAGCTTTTCCTGCACCCGCAGCCCCAGGGGAAGCATCTGGAAAATCCCGGCATACGCCTGGCGGAGATAGCCAGCCCGGATGAGCAGCTGGGTAGCGTCAGGGGCAGCATCGTGCTTTTGTACGTTGACGGTGGGGATCCAGAAATCAGATATTCTTTGTGTCGAGGAGTCATGACTTCCTCGAACGCCAAAGTACCTCGATTGGGTAGAAGGCCGTGTTGCTCTCCAGGGCGTCCAAGATGCTATCGGGAACTTCATCTCTGATTTCTGTCCAACTCCATTCACACACTCAAGAGCATCATTGGTGTGTCACTGTTGGTAATCGAACATATTGTGAGGAGCTGCCGTCTCGAGTTTCTAGATGAAGCTTTTTGAGCAGTAGGAGTCGAGTTGAAGGTCATAAGGCGGCCTATCAAGCTGTGTTAGTCGACGAGTTTAGTGAGATGCCAAGTGAGCTAAGAAGCTTAACACCCGTCTCACCTCCTAGAACGGGTCATCGACGACGAGGCTGACATGAGGAATCGCAGGCCTTTCATCTTCCCAAACCTCCAAGACTCACAAATGATCTTGGTCTCTGGTACTGTGCAACTAGAAGATGACTAGTCTTCCAGTTGGAATGCTTATCCACCATTATGTGGTAGAAGCAAAGTGACCGCCAAGATGAGGTAGGTTTCTTGAACATTACAGAGGAACTCACAGAAGGGATCAGTCTGTGATACAGCCAATCATCTGCTCATCCTTTGATATCTCGCACTCATACCATCCCATCGAGGAGATAACCTAGTCTGATAGGCTCACCAAGTACTGCAAAGTGCTCCCGGTATGGCTGACACGGCCTTCCCAAGCCAGACCCGCACGAAAATTTGTGGTGCTTGAGGACCTTTAGTCTCGCAGTGCACAACATCCAACAGCTCCCTGTATCTCGACAATCTCTGGTGACTCCCGACCTCAGTTTCTTCTAGCAACCTCTCTCCACCCGCGAGATGATTTCTTCCCACCTCGTTGCCGCCGTGGCCGTGTCATTCTTCGCTTGCTCTGCACTAGCACACCCCGCCACCGCCAGAGCAGAGAATGTCCCCGTGAACGTTACCGTCCACTCTGTCGAACCGCCTCAACACACGCTCCAGAAGCGATATTTCAAGTCCAAGTCCTGGGACCCGCCATACGTCGGCCACCCACCACCCTGGCCGTCTCAGGAGGACGCGGCATTCCCGATCCCAGAATTCAACCGCAGCTGCTTCACCGACGCCCGGGTCGCGCTGTGGAAGTGGCGGTACCTCTGCGACCGGGCCAACGACGAGTCCCTCAAGACGACGAACCCGCGCACCCGGATCCAGTTCTGCTTTAACCCGCCGCCCTCGGCCGAACTGTGCTGCGACGCCGACGGCAACGCCCAACGCGGACAGACCTGCCTCACGTCCCCGCTGTGGCCGCAGACGGACCAGGAAGCCGCCTGGTGCGGCACCTGCCGCCTGTACGAAGGCCCCTGCGTCTTCGGCGAGTACCCGGAGATCAACAACCCGGAGAACGTGTGCAAGTGCCAGTTCGACAAGTGCTACCTCCCCGACGACTTCAACCCGGACCACATCAACCCGGAAACGGACCGCAGCGGGTACCCGGGCCTGAAGAAGGCCACGTACGTCCGCGACGTCAAGGTCTGGTACTCTTACTTTTCGGTCCCCAAGGACGGTATCACCGACGAGGATCTGGAGCAGAGTGATTGGTTGTGATTGTGGTTTCGACGTGGCGGGCGAGGATCAGATCGAGGAATAGACCTCACCAAGTTAGGGGGGTTGGGTTATGTGTTGCGCGGTGGTGTGTGCGCGGGATATGAGGATATAACATTCATCCTCTACCGTTGTGGCAGGATGTTGGAGGCAGGAGGTGGACTGCGGGCGACGCAGATTACAGTGGGAGGAGTGGAGGCAGCGCAAGACAATAGTACTCAACATGTCCAACTCTTGAGGACCATCTGGAGCGCAGAACACATGAATATTCGCTGCAGGAACTTATCGTTAGGGAATTGCAAAAAACAAAAAAGGATGAAATGGTTTGGTGAACGGGGTGTAAAGGGGTTTGGTATTGGGTGCTGGATCGAAGCATGTCTAAAGAGGCCACGAGGCTGAGCATAAAACTCCATGGGTTGCCCACCAGTCACATATCATCGATCTCAATCTCATCCTCGATATTGACGAGGTTGTATGTCTCTTCATGAATGGCCATTCACGCCGTTCACCTCGGCACTTCGTTCCCTCAACTCGCGATACTCCTCTTGTGCTTCTCTCTCCCTCCTCATCACAAAGTTTACTTCATCCCTCAGCCTCTCCAACCTCCGTGCCAAAGCACCTTCTTCCCCGATCTGCAAAGTCCTAAATGCGTCCAGCTGTGCCCTCTGCTCCTCAATTTGTTCATAGACCGTAGAAATCTTCTGCTTCAGGGTCTTTTGCCGTGCTTGATACCCTCCCAGGTGCAACGACAACTTCTTCTCGAGTTTATTGCCTGCTTCTGCGGCAGAGAGAAGATTCTGTTGTGCGGATTTAAAAGCAGCCAAATACTCTTCTGTGGTTGTGTTCGCGGTGAACTTGAGCGGTAACGCGTTTCTTTCTCTCTCCGAGCTGACAAGGCCCTCAACTGCGGCGACGTAGGCTTGACGATCTGTTTCGTTGCATGTGGCCTTCAACTGCTGACGAGCCTTCTCCAGCAGGTCATCGGGCAGCGATCTCAACTGGGGATGTTTGCCAATCACCTTGGAGCCAGGAAGAGGGAACTTGCTTGCGTCATTCGCCATGAGAAGAGCCGCCTCTTGTGCGATCATTGCTCGAATCGGATCAGTTATGGACGTCGCTTCTGAGGCTAATGCGTTGTAGTTGATGGTGGTCGGTCGAGGTAGAGCTCGTTGGTAGACTTGAGTTTGTCGTTTAAACTCTGCTGCTGCTGCTGCTTCCCGGGCTTGTCGCTCCCGCCTGTCGATTTCATCTTGATCTTCTCTGTCCAAGGCGACACTGCCTAAAGTCTCTTCTTGTTCCGATGGCAAGACTTCCAGTTCCCATTCTGTCTCCTTGGGTTTTGGTAGGGACGAGAGCTTCGCCCTAAGCGACTGTCTTGCGGCGTTTTCAGCTAACCGCATGTCCCGTGGCGTTTGAGCAACAAGCTGTCTTTCGCCTCTTTCATTGATTGTCAGATTGTCGCGGGGTGTGCGCAGAGGAGTGGCACCAGGAAACTGTCCTGCACCTTCAGCTTGGCGCAAGGGCGTCGCCATCGGATTGGGAGTGACCATCTGCTGTCTTCGAGGCGCAACTCCATCAAAGCCTGTCGAGCTACTACCCTCATGCAGAGGTGTATTCTCTCCACCCAACAGAGATGACTGTGTTTCTGTGAGTGCTCTGATATTTCTGATCTCATTTGCGATATGGTCTTCTTCTACGGGGGCTCGAGGAGTTCGAATTGGTGTAGCCCCGACCATATTCGTATAGTTGGAGACAAGCCCGCGTGCGTCTACGTCCTCCTGCCCAGCTGCTTTCACTGCCTTATCCCCTGCCATCCCCATCTTGACGATCTCTTCCAGTTCGCTTTCACTAACCTGAGGGGCGGGCAGGTTCAAGGCTCGTCGCTTACTTTGTTGCTCGGCCTCTCGTAGTCGTTGCATTTGTCCTGCTCTTGCAGCGGCAGCAGCGGCGGCGGATGTTGATTTGTCCTTGTCTTGTTTTTGTCGTTTGGGATCGAGGTTATCTTCGGGATCTCCCTGTCTCTTTCGTGCCAGTTGCTGCTTGCGGGGGTCGAACAGTTCCCGCTCGCGCTCATTCTTAGCCATCTCATCTTGCGTATCGTGAAAGCCAGGCGCAGCCTGTTTTTCGAATGGGATATCGGCATTGTAGTCCATCTGGCCCTTCTTGCGGGTGGTTATTTTGATATTGATGCCCGCATTTTTGAGCTCCCGTCGTTTCTGCAGTACAGCAAGCCTCCGTGACTCCTCCAGTTGGCGTTCGCGTGCTTTGCGCTTGGCTTTCTTGCCTTGTGTGTTCGCTAGACGTGCCCGCGCCTCGCTGAGCATTTCCTTCTCGTCCTCGTCCAGATCAATGGTGTCCGGGCGCGCAGGTTTTGATTCCGGGTCAGGGTCAAGTTCACCAGGGCGCAGTCTTCGAACCTGGTCACCCGTTGGCGCTGCTGTTTCTCCACCCTCTGGTCCTCCGAGGCCTAATTCATCGTTTTCGCGGGCTTCTGCTTCGTCGAGGAGCTTCTGGTAGCGCTCCAGGCACTGCGTGGCCGTTCTTCCGACGATGGGCGCAATCGTCCGCCATTGTGTGGGCATCAACTTTGCCAGGTGTAGCAACTTCTCATCCTCCTCTTTGGACCACTCGATCTTGCGAATGCCCGGGTCGAGCCATTCTGTCCATCTCGCCTTGCACTGTTTCGGGGTCTTTCGTGCGAGCAACGACGAAACTCGAGCCCACTGGTTCAGGCCATATTTGGAGACTGAGGCTTTGAGGATTTCATCTTCAATGTTTGTCCAGACACCTCCTTTGACGACCGGCATCTTGCCGTTGGGTGAGCCGTCGCAGCGTTGGACGACGGTGCAAGAACAGGCTCAGATCGGATTTTGTAGATTGTCGACCTTTTGGTGAGGCGACTTTGAAGGGACTTTGGAAGTTCTAACTTTCTAAGTGATTTAGTGGAGTCGAAGCTCGGAGCGGAAAATCTTGGCGCCGAGTTTCATCGCTACAGTTCTGGAGATGGCAGCTTCATCTCCTCAGTCCCTTACAACTACAATGTACTTTGCTACTGTACCTGGGCTACCAATCGCATGTCATGGCGCAAGGTGCGCTTGACCAAAACGTGTACTCTGGCTTGCCATTTGCTACCCGCGACATTACACGAGGAAGTTAGGCTGGGAAACCCAGTCGCCTTTGATTGCTGGACTCTTTGCAAGACTCGATCTGCCTTTGGCATGCTTGGTACGTGGGTACATGATTTTGAGTCTGTTGACGGTAAATGCCCAAAGTTGGTGCTTATTGAGGCTTTGGATTCTCGCCGACGACAGACACTGACTCCCACCGGGTCACTTGGTTGTCTTAACGTGCTCATCGTGCTATCTCGACGAGCTAAGAATGTGAGAATCAACAACGGTATGTGGGGTAACAGGCCTGGCAGATGAAGGGGGAAAAGGTAACTTCGATGCCATGTCGCTAATATGGACAGTCTTTTTGCCGTAACGGGGAGTGCGTGCGGCTGATTGCGATTTTCGGAATACTTCATTCAGAGTCGCTCGCATTTCTCGACTCCGGTGGTGGCAAAATGTCTACCCTTGAGCTTCATCGGGACATATATTGAAGGCTATTATTGAAGGCGATCCGAAGTTCGTGTCTCTGTCGGGAAGAGTCCTCATGCAGTTCTCCAGGCAGATTCAGCATTTGATCTCCGACATGCAAAGTTGAGGCGCGAGCCAGAAAGCGCCGACTATTTAACCGATGAGCTGCATCTACTGAAGACCTCAATACGCCAAAGTACAAGACGAACAAACGCAGTTATCGCCTCTTAGTTAAGCACAGCTGCTGAGATGGCCAATGCCTCGCTCGGGTTTTACGTTGCTCTCCAAAGCACTGGGATCGTTGAGATTGCTTTCGATCCCAGCAAAAGAGCAAATGAATCTCTGTATGTTGTAGGAATCAACACGAATGCTGGTTTCATGCCGGGGTGGCTCACCTCCTTCGGCGATAAGGTCTATAGCATCAGCCGTACAAACTACCCGGACAGCGATGTCGGATCGGGTGGCGTATTCGCATTTCAGAGAGCTTCCCCTGCGACTTCGACTGAGACTGGGAATAGGCTTGTGCTCCTCAACCACGCAAGCAGCCACGGAAAGGGAGGTGTTCACTGTGAGGTGAGCCCCGGCGGAAAGATCCTGGCAGCGGCAAACATTACGGCGTCGACGTTGTCAATATATCCATTACTCGAAGATGGCTCCATTGGCGCAACCACGTTTGTGGTTGACTACAACCAGTTGGATCCTGGACCTAAGGAAGCACACCCGCATCAAGCAACATTTGATCCTACAGGCCAGTTTCTCTTTGTTCCGCTCCGGACAATGGATCGTCTAGACATCTACTCTGTTAAAAGCCCCCAGCAAGTCAACAAGGTTCACAGCATCCCATTACCAGCACCAGCAGGGGCTCGGCATGTGGCATTCAATCCCATCAGTCCCTCCAAGGCATACATGTACCTCATCAGTGAGAAGGACAACTCGATTCGTGTCTTTTCTCTGGAGTATAACACTGAAGTGGCGGAAGGTCTCACAGTCGAGTTCAAGCAGACCCTTTCCGCGATGGGAGAAGACCTCGCTCCCACACCAGCCGAGCACAAAGACCTGGCGGCTGAGATTGCTGTTAGCAGCGACGGGAGATTCGTCTATGCGTCGAACCGTAACTTGACACGAGTCGACGACGATATTCTGACAGTTTACTCCGTCGATGCCGACCCTGCACATGATGACCGCCATCTGACATTTCTTCAATCTCAATCGACTCGGGGTAAGCACCCCCGAATGTTTGCACTCTCCAACGATGCGGAAAACAAGTGGGTTGCCATTGCCCATCAATTCAGTCAGGACATTACCGTTTTCGAAAGGGACACAACAACAGGTCTGCTGGGCGAGGTGAGAGGTCGAATTAGTGTCAAGGTAGTCGAGCCATACCAATCTACCCCAGACAAGGTCAGCTTTGTGAGTGTAGAAGGCCAACAAGGGCGAGAGGATTTTAAGAGAGGTCGGACAGAAGGGCCGATGTGTGTCTTGTGGAAATAGGGTTGCAACTGTCGCGATATTGGCGAAGGTCTATTCTCAGCCTCGCAAGGCTCTGCATTACCTGCAAGACACCCATACGCACAGACAGACTTGCCGATTCCAGCATCCTCTGAGGTATTTGATTGAGGAAAAGACTTAGTCGGGAGGTCAGTCGTCCAGCAAAGACTGACTGATGTTGTCCTCCGGTATTTTCCCTCTTGAAACGAAACCTTCACGCAATCATTCGTAACATCTTTCTACCTTTCCCCTTGAATCTGATCGTCAAATCTTTCACCCTGTTGTCCAAAATTGTATCCGCCACTACTCAATCTCATCGGTCTGAAAATTCACCGCTTTCAGAGAAGCCATGGCCTGTTCGCTCTTCTGCTTCGGCCGAGCTTTTGGGATCCATTTTTCTTAGCGATTTCGGAATGATTGATCAATGAGAGTGCGGCAAACGGATGCACTACTGACAAAAGATCTCGACCATAGGCACTTACGGGGTCAGCTTCTAGCCAAAACCCCACGGGGTATACGAGGTAGAATTGAAGTGGTGGGGAATCTCACGCTTTCACGATGCCTTCTTGAACCCTTCTCCCTTTGTTGGCTCCTGTATATGAAGGGTCGAATTCCCTGTGGTCTGGAAGCCTTCGATTTCCACCTCCTAAGCTCAAGACACTTCGCATTTCAGAACTTGGGCCGCTATCCTCCAATACCTCGCAGCGCAGGCTCTGTCCAGCGCCAGGCCACAAACATCATGGTGTCCTTCAACAATAGGATCACGGAGAATGTCAACGGGAAACTGGCGTTTGCTTCCACGGTCATGATGTTGTCTCAAATCAATTTCGGAATGGACCTCGTCGCCTTCTCCAACACCCAAGCCATGTCTACATTTAACAAGAAGTTCGGTCACTACAATGCTAAACTGGAACGATATGCATTGGACCCGTACTTCCTCTCGCTCTTGAACAGCCTTACCTACGTCGGTCAAGCCTTTGGCGTCATCACAGGTGGTTGGATTGCTCGACGTTGGGGACGAAGGGCTTCGTTCTGGGTCATGTCTGTGTGGGCAGTGGTGTCTGCTCTGCTCCTTGTCACGGCACAGAAGAAAGAACAGGTCCTCGTCGGTCGCATTTTTAATTATGTGTACCTTGGTCAGGAGCTTGTCACGGTTCCCGTATACCAGGCAGAAATCGCTCCCCCAAAGATCCGAGGGATGATCATCGGCACGTTCCAGCTCGGCACAATGGTGAGTACAGGTGCTTTCTACAGGCGTGGAAGTGACTTGCTAACCCTGTGTCTAGGTTGGTGCTTTCATCATGGCATGCATTACCTACGGGACGAGCAAGCTAGACACCGAGGCCGCGTTTCGCATTCCCTTTGGCATTTTCTTCGTTATCCCAGTGGTTGTCTTTGTCGGATCTTTGTTCATGCGCGAGGTAAGTGTGTCGTTCAAGTCACTTTATAATCTCAATCCACTCTTCTTGCTTACTTCTTGCTGTCAGTCCCCACGTTGGCTTCTTGTCCGAGAACGGTCAGAGGAAGCCCTGGAGTCGCTCCGGCTATATCGACAGGGCAAATTCACCGAAGAGGAGATTATGGAAGAATACCGTGACCAGGTGGCTATGATCGTCGCCGTCACGAATGACAAAGGCACATTCAAGGAGATGTGGCAGGGGATCAACCGCAAGCGATCCCTCATCGTCATCGGCTCCAACATCAGCATCCAGATCAGCGGACAAGGACTATTCAGCAAATACGGCACCATCTTCTTGACCGACCTTCATGGACCGAATCCTTTCCAGATGTTCCTCATCAACACGTCCTTGCAGATTGTGGTCATCCTGGCTGCTATGTATCTCTTTGATAGAATCGGTCGCAAGTAAGTTTCACTCTACAAGAGGGATTTCCCCAGACTAATGGTATATGGTCAGACCTCCGTTGATTATCGGGTCCATCATTCAGACCACCACATTCCTCGCCATCGGTGGACTCGGGACGATATCGGATCCCAGCAAAAATGTCAAAGTCGGACTCACGGCCCTGTTCACCGTCTACTACCTGGGCTTCGTCTTTGGCTGGGGTCCCATCTACCACATTCTTTCGTCTGAAATACCCACCTCACGTATGTTTGCTCGGTTCACCCATCACAGTCTGTCCATTCTGTGAAACGAAAAGGCTAATATCCCACCATCGGGACACAGGCATGCGAGACATCACATACACGGTATCCAGCATCTTCACCGTCGTCACGCAGTTCGTCGTCTCCTTTACCATCCCGTACCTGCTCTATGCGCCGTACGCAGACCTCGGATCCAAGATCGGCTTCATCTTCGGGCCCATCGCCTTCGTCACGCTCCTCTTTGCCATCTTCTGCGTGCCCGAGTGCCGCGGCTTTTCGCTCGAAGAGATCGACCACCTGTTCAGGGCGAAGGTGCCTATCCGTCAGTTCCGCAGATACAAGCACGGCCAGATTCTGCCGGAAGGAGGTGCCGAGAAAGAGACGGAGAAGGCGGGAGAAGGGCCTTCTGTGGAGCTTAAAGAGGTCGCTGAGATGTAGACTCTAGGCTGGATGGGACGGATGTCCTGGGAGAGTATCGTGAGGAGCAACGCCTGCTTTGGAAAGGTGAATCGTACCAGTATACGTGATAGTGATAGTCATCTACGGTATAGGGATCGCAATGAGGATATCAGTCATGATGTTTACCCTGAAACATAGCCTGGATCATGCCCAGTCCATCTTCTCCATCAACCAATTCTTCTGCTTCATCCTCCTTCACATGTAATCCCTCGAGCATAGCAGAGCAACTAGCCCATATCCTCTCTCCTGTGGACCTCAAGTCATATGCGTTAAGCTGTGTGTCTTCTTTACCCTGCTGAGACACCAGACTGTTGCATTCTCCTGCGGCAAGATATTCACCAGCAAGTTCGCAACCAGAGGACGATTTGGGGTGATGGATCAGCAGTCACACTATTTCTGGCGTCTGGTGGCGTTGTTTCTCACTTGACCATCTTTCCATTCCGACTGACGCTGACGCCAGGTTCTGATGCCGAAACATTGCGACTTCGCAGTGTCGCCACACATGATCCGATGATCATCCCCCAGGTTTCCCCGCCAACTAGTTCCTCTGTTCCTCCACAAATCATCGCTTGCCTGCTTTGCGTCTCTCCGGAATTCGAAATGAGACACCCCGAAAGCCCCTCGACCACCGCTTCCCTCTCCCCAGTGGCTCGTTGAGCTGCCACGGTCGCTTTGAATATTCTCCGATGAGGAGTGGTGGAGGGATCTTTGCGATGGCGCACAACCAGTTCGGGCCCGAAGAGAGGTCCGATGAGGGATTTGCAAGAATGTACAGTGAGAAGACTAAGACATAAAGAGCGCTCGCTGGTCACTCACGTCGAGCAGCACAAGTCCATGGGAGACTATTTGGGGAATAAGCCAAGTCGAGTACATAGACAAACACCAACATCAGCCAAGAACCGTCAAGATCAGTATCGAATCATCTACTGTCAGTATGTCTCCAGGAAGAACAAAGGACGAGCTCCGCATCTTCACCCCCGTCGGCCAGTTCGGCCAAGGGTGGAACTCGAGCGTCTTCTGGGATGTAGTGGACTCTGGTGTGGACGCCATCATCGCCGACGCCGGCTCGACCGACAGTGGCCCTGGACGTCTCGCGCTCGGCAAGACGGCAGCCTCCCCGGCAGGTTACAAGAGGGACTTTGGCGAGCTGGTCAAAGCGTGCCACACCCACGGCGTCCGCTGCCTCATCGGCTCTGCCGGCGGTTCTGGCTCGAACGAGCTCGTCGACATGAGCACTCGGCTCATCAAAGAGATCGTCGAGGAGAACGGGTACCGTCCGATGAAGGTCATCAGCATCTACGCCGAGATCCCCAAGGAGACCGTGCGCCAAAAGTTCAAGGACAATCTCATGAGTCCGTGTGGCCAGGCTGTGCCCCAGCTCAAGGAGGAAGACATCGACTCTGCGGTGAGGATCGTCGCGCAGATGGGCTTGGAGCCCTATGTCAAGGCGATGAACGAGAACCCGGACTTTGATATCATCATTGGCGGCCGCTCTTACGATCCGGCCCCGTACGCGGCGTTCTGTCTCCACCATGGATTTGAAGATCTAGGTGAGTGTCCCCATCTCGCCCCTGTTACCAGGCTCTATTCCCCAGACTTCTTTGCGGAGCCCATCTCATCCCTCTTTACGCACATTAACAAGAAATGGCTGGCTAATCCACTATGCTACGACAGGGATCAACTATGCCATGGGCAAGATCATGGAATGCGGTGCACAATGCGCGATCCCCAAATCCCGGGAATCCCTCGCGATCGTGCGCCGCGACAACTTCGACCTGATCCCGCTTCAGCCAGGAGCACGATGCACTCCTCTGTCCGTAGCGGCCCATCTCTTGTATGAGAAGAGCAGACCTGACATCCTCCAAGGCCCAGGCGGCGAGCTGCACACCAAGGACATGACGTACGAGCAAGTCGACGAGCGTACCGTGAGGGTGCGCGGGCCCAAATTCATCCCCCAGCCCGACGGGGAGTATACAGTCAAGACCGAAGCGGCGCGGATCAACGGCTATCAAAACAGTTTTGTGGGCGCTTTTCGGGACCCGATCCTGATTTCTCAGCTCGACACGTGGATCCCGGCCGTCAAGGAGACGGTCAGGGCTAGGATGTCGGGCGGTTACGAGTACGAAACTAAAATCATCACATACGGGATCAACGGCGTCATGGGCGCGCTCGAGCCGGACAAGAGTCTCCCCAAGGAGGTGTGCGTGGTCGTTCAGTGCAGGGCACCCACGCAGGAGCAGGCCAACGAGGTGGCCAACAGGACCAAGATGGGCTTGACTCATGCGCCGTATCCCGGACAGCTCGCGACGGCAGGGAACTTTGCGTGGCCCATCACGCCGTGCGAGACGCCCATTGGCCCGATCCCGGAGTTCTGCATGTACCATCTCATCCACAAGGCGGATCCGGTCGGTCTGTTCCCTTTCCGTGTGGACGTGTTTGAAGGATCCAACACGTTTGTCGATACTCGTATGTAACCCCTCCCCCCTCCCTTTTTTTTTTGCCTATCTCTATGCATGCGAAGTCAACTGACCCGTCCGATACTCAGGTGAAAAACTCCCCGTCAAAGCCGACGCCGCCATCTCCCTCATCAAGCCTTCCGGGCCCACCGCCCCGGGCCAACCGAGGAAATATTACCTCCAGCCCGCCCCTCCCGCGGGGACCTGCTACCTGGGCGACATCGCCTCGGTGGTGCGGAGCAAGATTGCCGGGCCCTACGAAGTGACCTTTGACATCATGTTTCGCGACGAAGAGGTGTACCAGCGCGTCAAGAACGCGAACGTGCTCTCCGGCGCCGCGGTGGCCAAGCTGTACAATATCCCTGAAAGCGACGTCGTTGCCGCGCTCTGGTGGGATCCGGCCAGGGCGTTCAAGGCGACCATTCCACGTTACCGCGCCTCGGCCGGGTTTGAGGAGACGGACACGCACGGGTCGCAGCAGCATGCGCCTCTGCTGTTCTTGACGCTGCCTTGGGGGAGAGAGTAGGGTTTAACTGGGCGTGTGAAAGGGGACCAAGGGAGCTGGATGGCGATGATGATAGTGATGAGCTTGAGAGAATATCTTAAATCAATCGATGTATTTGCCCAGCCATAAGATCCACCATATTCTTACAAGCCTCCAAGTCTTATGTCTTCTAACGACGACACAAATCCACGTTATTTGCGTGACAATATGCTACGTACACGATGCTTAGAGTGGTAGAGATAGTGAGGTCTCTACGGAACATGTAGCTCGACAACCCATGGCACTCTATGTAGAGTATTGTAAGACTCTGGAGCAAGAACATCCCATTCGAGTCAGCATCACCCCAAGTTGAATTCAATGTTAGAGAGGCCGTTCCAAGCTCATATCGTGCAAAAGATTGTCCGAGGAATGATTTGCCCGTACGGTCCCACGTTGGCAGACACAGCCGACGGGAGGGAGTATCAAATGTCTCGAAGATACCTCCGTAGTTTGTGGTAGATCTCCCTCACCTCCGCATATCGCAATATTGGCAATTCGGGGGGGGGGGGGGGGGGGCATTTCCCAAAGTGGCAGTCCAATCCGTGCCTTTTATTATTATTATAGGCTCCCCATTCCACCATTGCGACTTTCGCAATGCTCACCCCAACTCCCCGGACGGCAATTGGCCATTCTCAGAGAATAGAGCGGGGTTGGCCATCCAGCAGAGAATCATGGGGGATATAAGACCTCGACATGCATGACCAACATCGCCAAACCATTGCGATTTCACTGTGCTTGAATCGGAATCCCCCTTCCCTCACTTCGGCATCCCTGCACACATGCCCCAACAATGAAAGCCAAAGCCTGCACCCGCTGCCGTCAGTGGAAGGTGGGCTGCGATGCCGACGTCGCCGGGCCCGAGGGCTGTACGCGCTGCCGCAGCGTCAATGCCAAGTGCGTCTTTGGGCCCAACTTTCGCCGGACGCCCAAGAGGCGCATGTTGGCGGATTTGCAGGACGAGGTGACTCGGCTGAGGGCCTTGACTTCGGTGTTGACTGTTGGAGAACGAGAACGGGCACAAGGGCAAGGACAAGGACAGGTCCCCGTCGGCGAGAGTCCTACGACGTCGTTGGAAACGAACGTTTCGTCGTGGGGGGTGGAAAACACTTCTTCTTCTTCATCAGCTATTGTTGTCGAGTCTATACCGACCGCCGTCCACCAAGCACCACCGCCTCCAGCAACAGAATCTCCTCCTCCTCCTCCTCCTCCTCCCCCAATACCGGTTCCAAATCTGTACTACAAAGGCAGCAGCCATGTCCAGCTCACGGCCACACAGGCCAACGAGCTGTTCCGCATCTACTTCACAAGATGTCACCCGTATCTCCCCTTTGAGATGTGCCGGTCGGTCCAGATCGTCTACGATCGCTGTCCGCTCCTCTTCTGGGTTGTCTGCGCCGTCGCATCCACGGACAAAGCACGACCCCAACTTGCAGAGATTGTCCGCAGTCATGTCGGCAGCGTGTTGGATCCCAGCAACGGCTCCGTCGAGGTGGTACAGGCCCTGTTGATCCTGGCGATGTGGCCCTTTCCTTTCAAATCGCAGCGATTTGACCCGTCGTTCATGTACGGCGCACTAGCCTGTCAACTGGCGTTGCAGATCGGCTTGCCTCGACCGGCAGTGACATACCCCGGCTGCGCGAAGTCTGACACCGTAAACAACGACGACCACGGCGTGCGGACCACGACGTGGATCGCGTGCTTCGTGGTCAACCAGATCCTCGCCAGCCGACTGGGAGTTCCCGCCACCATCTTCGCCGACTACGCACTCCTGTCGTCCCTCGACGACCCTCTGGTGTCGCCGCAGCTGTCCCACCTCTGCGCCATCTCCCATCTGACCGTGGAATCGGCGCACGCGATCGGCGCGCGGGCTGTGAACGTCTCCGGCCTCGCTGACCCGATCCCACGGATCAGCCTGATCACCATCTTCGCGCAACAGTTTGACGAACTGCGGCGAACGCGGTTCCCCTCGCCGAGCGAGATCGAGGAGATCTTCTTCCTCAGCTCGACGCTGCAACTGTGGTCGTTCGCGCTGCACAACGACGTGCCCATCTCTGCCGAGACGTTTTCGATCGTGCAGCGCGCGCGCCACGACGCCATCCGCCTGATCCAAGTGGCGTGCGAGAAGAACCTGGGCCTCGTGCCCTTTTACACGCACCGCTCCGTCTGCTTCGCCGCCCTGCTGCTGTACCACATCAAGCTCAGCCCGTACGGCGTCCTCAGCGACGCCCTCCTCGACGACCACATCGCCCGCGCCCAGCAAGCCCTCCAGTCGCGCACGGGGCCCGACCTCGCCCGCTTCCTCCAGACGCTGACCTCGCCCGAGAACCGGGCCGAGTTCATCGCCCGCCGCGACAAGACCGCCTCGCACCGCTGGAAAATGGGCGCCGCCTTGACGTTTGACTCGGCCCACGCGTACGCAAACCTGACCACGCAGGCCGAGGCGCTGTTTTTTCCAGAGTTGTTGGACCTCGATGGGTTTTTGTTCGAGACGCCGACTTCGACGACCATGTTGGGGTGATGGTTTTCACCGCGTCTTTTATCTCAATGCCCGCGGCTGTGGACAGCGTTATGCAGAGATAAACTAGCAAGAACGAAAGAGGATTCTTAGCAACAGGACCAGGCGAAGAGGTAATGTTTTCGACTCGGCAGTGAAGGGTGCACAATCAAAAGCCGGATCTGTTATTGTCCTTTTCAAAGCATATATGATATCATGTATCATGTCTCGTTCCATCCTTTACCTTTCATTGCTTTGTCCACCTCAGATGCACGCACGCAATCCCTCCATCCCTCCACCAGCCCTATTCATAAAGCATATCATTCTCATCTCATGTCATGTCATATCATGTCAATGCCAGACTAACAAAGCTGTTGCACTCAGTCAGAAGGGACATAGCTTTGACTGTAGACTGGCCATGATTACCCCCTGAAGATGTCGAAATGGCGTCGAGGAGTCAGACAACAGCCTCTTTCCCAGCCAAGGACGCTTGCGGATGTCTTATTTCTCGTTCGGCAGCCAGTCTGGTCACACGCCACACGACATGTTTGTCACCGGTCAGTCTCATCGCTGTCGCCCCTTCAGAAGCAAGAATCAAGGGGCATAGATGGCGCGCAAAGCAGACGTATTACTCTGTCTGTCTGTCTTTTTCTGTACCCCCTGGCTGGGTCGATTTACTCACCTCTTCTTCTCCCTCGTGTGGAACCACAGCGTCAACAGGGCCAACCCAACCATTCCCGGCCCGCCGATGAACAGCACGGTGGCGAACCCGGCGGCGTAGCGCGGCGCGTCGACCTGTTGCCAGACGATCAGGGGCAGCCAGATCTGGATGACATAGGCCATCTGGTTCATGCCGCCCGTGACCATGGCGCGCTCTTCGTTGTCGGCCGAGCAGATTTCGTGGGCCCAGCTATATACATACAGAGTCAGAAGAACAGCGACGAGGAGGAGGAATGTGTGTTTCCTTGTGTGGTGGGTAGTGGATAGGGGATAGGGGACATACCTCATGATAATCCCCGCCAGTGCCGCCCCGACGCCCATCAGGATGTAGCACGCCCAGCGCCAGCCATTGGGGATATTCCAGATCCAGAGGGACGTGTAGCAGACGATATTGAACATCTTCCAACACACAAGCACAGTCAGCAGCAGCCGCGTAAACGGTCAAGGAGGGAAGGGAATGTCATCTCTCTCTCTCTCTCTCTCTCTCCTGTCTGGGAAGAACTCACCCCGCCGATAATGATCGAGGGCCACCTCCGACCCTTCAGGACCGAGTCCGACGTCCACGCAAAGACGAGGGTGCAAAAGATCTGCACCCCGTACGTCGACGTGGGGTAGTTGTTAATCTGCGGCACCGTGTACTTTGGGCTTGTCGAGTCCTTGAGAAACTGCGCAAAGACGGGCTGTCCAGAGGCGCCGCCGTTGTTCCAGCACCTGGCCGGGGTATCAGCCTCTACAGAGTGACAGGAAGACCACCACCAACAAAGGACTCTCGACTTGACTTACACGTAGAGGGGAATCAGACACCAAATGTGCCACGAGGTCAGAATCTTCCAGAACTTGGCGCGCGTGTACGGCTGACGGGTCGCGCGGCCTTCGAGCTGGATGCGCTTTCGAGCGAGGGCGATGTCCTATAGCGCCAGACAATGGAGTAGAGTGTTAGATCCGACATATCTCTACAGAATTGTGCCTGGCTGTGTGGAGTTCCGACTGACCTGCGGCGTAAAGTACCACGCACGAGTGATATCAGGAAAGTCCGGGATCATGAAGAAGCCTGCGAGGGCGATGGGGAGTGAAATGACGCCGTCCATGATATACAGCCTGTACGTCGATAACAGTCAGAGCTTTGTAAGTCGTGGTGGCCGTGGAGGACATACCACTGCCACCCCCGAAGACCTCCAACACCTTCCAGGTGGTAGACCGCCGCCATCAGATAGCCAGAGAACATGGTGCCGATGGGATACGCGGCCTGGAAGATGCAGGATCTCTTGGCCAGCTCGTCTGATCGATACCAGGATCCAATAATGTATATCATGCCGGGATAGAGGGCGCTTTCGAAGAGTCCTGAGAAAAGGGGGGTTCGGGTCAACTAGTTACCTAGAAAGGAATGTGTTCTCGACTTTTGGGTATACGACACGTCGACGAGGGAGACTTACCGACAAAGAAACGGATGGCGTAGAATTGATGAGCAGACGATGCTCGTGAAGACGCCATGGTGCAGATGGTCCATAGAAGCTACACACGCTGTTGGTCAACAACCACCGACTCGACAACAAGATGGGGCATGTGAGTATTGACCAACCTCCATGCACGGGATAAAGATAGACGGCCTCACACGCGTGAGGATCATGTTGGTCGGCAAGCCGCCAATGACATATCCAGCCGAATAGCACGTCTGCATATAGTTCAACTGGTTGCCGTAGAGGTTGAGATCCTCCTTCCTGTCGTTGCTGTCAGCTTTGAACTTTGCCGAAGCATCTTCTTTTTTTTCCCCTCGCTCTTACATTCCCGAGACAAAGGCATTGTTCAAGTTGGCCTGGTCGAGGTACTTGATAAAGTAACCTTCGTGTCGACATTAGCAAAACAGTTTGCTTTTTCCTGTCTCGGAACGTCCCTTACCCAGACACCCAAACGTCAACAGCGCGCAGTCGAGTTTGAAGACAAACTTGCGTTCTTCGGGAGACTTGTCCAACGAGTCCCAGATGTAGCTCCTCCAGTTCTTCTTCGCCGTGGGCGTCTCCGGGACGAGGTCTTCCGCCCGTGCTTGAGCGTCATGAGAGGGGGAGCTTTCGAGCTCTTCGACATGCTGGATCGGCTTTGAATCCATGGTTTCGTTCGACCAGAATGATAAACAAGCGTTATGCACACAAAACAGTGGAAGTTGAAGAGCCTCTCTCTCTCTCTCTCTCTCTTGATAGATATATGGGCCCGACCTTGGGGGAAGGTCGGGTGGGTCGAAGGGGAATCATGCACTTCTCTTACCCCTTTCGGCGAGGCTGCATTCTGCGGGGACTTTGGGGGAATTTGTCCGGGGAAAAAGTCAGTCACAAGCGGTTTTGAGCCGTCGAGCCTGTTGGTGAAAGTGGGCGTGGGTCTCGCAGAACCTCCGGGCCACCTGATGTGCAAGTTCGGAGGAAGTGCGAGGCTGGCGGCAAATCGGCAATTTTCCCTTTGAGTGTGATGAAGGAAAAGGACGGTAGACGGTAGAAGTTAGAGGGCCCGCTTTATTTATGTGGCAGGGAAGGGGTACGGTATGGTTGGTTGGATGTCTAATGGTTTTCTCTCGCCCGATGCCCTGGTATGGAGCCTATGTAATGGAAAAGCAAAACGGGTCAATGGACGATGTGAGCATCCAATCCTCGTCGAACCCAAAAGCGTCCGAGGAGACATTCTCACTCATCGGCCCGTAGGAATCGTCCTCCATGTCGGCTGGAATGTTGAGAGGATGGTGGTCCCCGTCGCGTCGTGCCTGGTAGAGGGGTCTCGCTTTCAGTCTGGAGATCATCTTGCTCAAGCCCGTCGCGATATGGCGACACAAGTGTCTCCGGCTGGCTTGAGCGTTCGACATCAAGTCCACCACGGCCTGGACAAGATCCAGGACCTGTCGCCTCTCAATGTTCAGCGCCGCCGAGTTCCAGCTCCACACGACCTTGAGCAGAAACACGGCGGCGAACGCGATCATGGTATGCTTGAACAGGGTCACACGCGCGACGGCATTGCGAATGTCTGGCTCGTGCAGGACCAAGTTCATGGTGGACATGGCAGAGGCAATGGCCGAGTTGGCCGCTTCTCTACGATCTAGGGAGAATTGATGGTTGGGCGATATTGCCCGCAGAGCGAGAGAGTTGAGCTGTAGTTTGGCGAAATGGTAATGCAGTACAACGCCCTTGGATGGGTACGTGCCGACGTACGGATTGGGGGCTGAGTTGTTAGTATCATCCCCTCTCTATTCAGGCCGGTATTGAGCAGGGTATCTCACCGATTCTGGGCTGCCATTTCATCCGCCACCCTTCTACCTCCAAGCAGAAGGCTCTCAAAGTGTTAAAGTCCTCCTCGTTCAGTGGTTGCTGGCTGTCCGACCCAAAGGTGTGATACGCATTGGTCAGCACAATGAACAGGGCCACCTGAGCCATCAGTCTCATGTCTGCTGGCCCAGCCATGGGTGAGCTCAAGAAAGATTCGTAGCCTTTGATTGCAGCATTGTCGTGGATGACGGGAGGACGACCATATGCAATGCTGTAGTGATGGTCACAAACGTAGAGGAGATACCACAGCTGCGCTCGCTCGTATTGATCGGGCTCGCCCCGTTGCATCTTGTGGAACGCTTGATGGAGGTTCAGCTCGGTCGCAATCCGAACGGCGACTCCAGAGAGTTTCCAGCTAAGGTCCGAGAGCCAAAAGGCACCAATGCAGAGAGCTCGAATGTCGTCCAGGTTGTGGTCGCGGTAGATGAGGGACCCGGAGATCAGGGAGACAAATTCTGAATAGCAGAATTCAAACATCTCTTCCCCCTGCGGGATGTGCAATGCGGCCACGGCCAAGATGGCGGCACAGAGTAGAGAAGAAGATCTCCGAGCAGACTCGAGGTCACGGTGGACGAGGGCAATTCCTCCCCAAAGGATGTGGTTCATTGTCGTGTCAAAGAAGGAAAACAGTTCCCTGGCGACATGGTGAGGCAGGGCTCCGCGAGAGATCAAATCGTCCTCGGGCGTCTTTGCAATCCTGTGCTGGGAGACATCACTGCGGATATTCCTCAGCTTTGTGACTTCGAATAGACTGCGCATGGGTGCAGAGACAAGTTCCTGTTCTGCTGGTGGTTCCTGAGACGTCTCCCGAGTTCTGACTTCGCGACTATCCTTGCTCACTGCAGCAACAAAAGCCCCCAACTTGAGACGGTCGGAGTTGACTGGCTCTGTAAGGCTTGTAGGGAATGAGGATAGAGGCGGCATAGAGTTTCTCTGGAGTATCTCAGTCACCGCAGCCTGGAGCTGGACGATGTTGGTCTCGGCCTCTTTCTTCCAGCTTCAAGATTTGTCGTGTCAGGCTTTATTCAATCCTCGCACATTGACAGAGCACATACTCTTGGTCATCCTCAAAGATTCTCTCCAGCTTGTTGCTGCTGACGCAACGATAGCCATACTTTCGGCATCGTGCGCAGTTTGGCTGTCCGGGAGACTGATCGCAGCGCACCTTGTGCTTTTTACATTCTGTACCTTGACGACGATGAGCATCGTTGCCCATGCTTTAGCTTTTGAGGAGGGCGAAGAAGACTCACAGGCGCGGCTCTTGTAAGGCAGCATCCCCTCGCGTGTCACATGGAATGTTTTACCTGGTGACTGAGACCCAAAGGACTTGTTTCTGTGGGGGAGGGATCCTTACTCCTGAATTCGTAAAGTTCGGAGTGCCAGCGAGATATGCTGGAGTCAGGTCATCTAAACCCGGAAGGTCGCCGTGATCGGCGAGGTAAAGCCATGTGAGTGCCTACCCAGAGCATTCCATTTCTTGGGGTAGTCTCACATTCAGGCGAGAACGGCACAACGGATATCGGCTCCTCTCTGAGTCTGTGTGGTCCAACATGTCGGCCTCCACCCGTGGTATGAGGAAAGTGTGAAAGTATCGTCGTGGACGCCCCGTCAAACCAGGATGAGAGCAAGGATTTTAGGCTATGAACGTCAATCACAGGCTATTTCGAGTTAGACAACAACTAGAGCATGCATCTACTCTGCCTATTGGCCACTCCGCATGATCTGCTTAATGCGTGCCGAGGTCGATTGGAGAATGCAGCATCGGAGAAAGTGCGAAGTACATCACATACCACTCGGGGACGGCCGTCGTTGATGGCATAGGAGAGGCCCCATGGCCACCACAGGAAATCACTCCATGGTTTCTGCTGGTAGAGGCTTCAAGAAGACCCGGGCTTCCCCACTCGAGGCAATTCTCCGGTGGTGGGCAATCAGACGACCTGCGTATAATACATACAAGTAGGTAATGGCACCTTTGCACCGAAAGAAAGCATCTTAGTATAGGACTACTACTTATCCACTGTCAAAATAGGGAAGCAAGATGCCACTCGACGTACCAATAACCGTCCATGGAGACAAGAGACAGGGGCCATTTAAGCCCATCTACAGATTCTTTGGATGCGACGAACCCAACTACGTCTACATGAAAGACGGCGAGAAGTTGATCAAGAAACTGGGCCAACTGGGAAGTGACCAGGTCTATTTCCGCGTCCACAATCAATTCACCACGGGCAAGGGGGTCCATGCCCTGAAATGGGGGAGCACGAATGTCTACACCGAGGACGAAGCGGGAAATCCCATCTACGACTGGACCATCATCGACCAGATCTACGACACGTGGCTGTCGCGCAACGTCAAGCCCTACGTCCAGTTCGGATTCATGCCCGAGGCCCTGTCGACCAATCCCCAGCCGTACCAACACTCGTGGACGCCGACGGCTTCTTACAAAGAAGTCTTCACCGGCTGGACGTATCCCCCCAAGGACTACGAGAAGTGGGGGGAGCTCGTCTATCAGTGGACCAAGCATGTGGTCGATAAATACGGCAAGGCGGAAGCCGAGACCTGGTACTGGGAGACCTGGAACGAACCCAACATCGGTTACTGGCAAGGAACCCACGAGGAATACTGTAAGCTCTACGACTACACCGTCGAGAACGTGCGGAGGGCTCTACCCACTGCCTTGGTGGGTGGTCCTGAAACGGCCGACGGTGGACCAGAGTACCTGCGGAGGTTCTTCGAGCACTGCCTACGAGGCAAGAACTATGTGACGGGAAAGACAGGCTCTCCTCTCGACTTTACCTCGTTCCACGCCAAGGGAAAACCCGAGTTTATCGAGGCGTCGCAGCACGTTCGCATGAATGTCGGTCGACAGCTCCACATCATCGACGAGTCTTTCGGGGTCATTGCCTCGTTCCCCGAACTCAAGGACAAGCCCATCGTCATTGGGGAGTCAGACCCAGAGGGCGCCGCAGCTGCTCAGGGTCCGCAGCTGGGCTATCGCAATGGGACCATGTATTCGTCCTACACGGCCGCCAGCTTTGTCCGCAAGCAAGACCTTGCAGCTCGACACGGGGTCAATCTTGAAGGAGCTCTGACCTGGGCATTCGAGTTCGAGGATCAACCATACTTTGCGGGATTTCGGGTCCTTGCGACCAACGACATCGACCTGCCCGTTCTCAATGTGTTCAGAATGTTTGCGAAGATGGGAGGGTCGCGACTCGAGACAAAGAGTGAAGGGCAGGTCCCGCTGGAAAGCATTCTCCAGAACAGCGTGCGAAACGGACCGGATATCGGGGCTGCTGCCACGTTGGATGGGGACAGACTGAGCATCTTTGTGTGGCATTACCATGATGACGATCAGCCGGGGGAGGTGGCCAACGTGGACATCTCTCTGCAAAGACTCAAATGGAACTCGCCGAGCAGTAGTCGACTGAAGCACTACCGCATTGACGAGCATCACAGTAACGCATATACAAAGTGGAAAGCCATGGGTTCTCCACAAGCTCCGTCGAGCGAGGAATATAGGCAGCTGTCTGAAGCGGCTAGACTGACCACGCTGGAGGACCACGAGACGGAGATTGGCACGAGAGATTCCACCACAACCTTGTCGTTTTCTCTTCCTCGGCAAGGCGTGTCTTTGATCGTGCTGGATGGAGTTTCGTAGAGATTTAGTCACAGATATATATGTCATTACACTATTCAGAGGACAGAAAAAGAAAGGCAGAAGCTCTACCATACCTGGCGACTGTTCACGCGGCTCCTCATGTCGATTCCGCAAGATATCGTCTCATACATCCAGCAACTG